GCTTTTCTGGGCACTTGCTTTCTAGGTGGTCTTCACAAAGGGCACAGAGGCCGAGCCCACCTACCTTGAGCACTGGGCTGTGGATGTGGATCTCAGATGTTCTACGAGGGGTAGTGCCTGGTGTCCCTGGAAACATGTAACTGTTTTCTAAAAGAGCTCCTTCTTCCTTTCATTCAAGGAGTTGACTTACTAAATGAGAAGTTTGTAGTGGCTATGTTTAATCTTATAATTTGACAACCAAGTAGAACAAACATTTTAAGCATTTTAGTTACCTTTAGACAAATAGTTTTTTAAAAAATTATTTAGCCCTATATATTTATTTCAGTATTATTCTCATTGCATTTCTTATGGCTGGAAATCAGAATATGTGTTACAGTAAGATGTTACTTTGACACTTTTGTGCATAATTATGAATTTATTGCTAATAATGGTGACTGATAAACTACAGCACACCAAAAAATTCCTTCATTCTTAACAGTGCTATTCAGTAAAAAGATTTTGGGTCACACAGGTAACTTAAAATTTTCTCCTAGCTTTTTTAAAAAAGTAATTTAATATTTTCAAAATAATACTTTAATACATAATTACTATAAAAAGATCAATAGGGTGTTATCCATCCTATTTTCATGCTATGCTTTTGAAGTCAACATCTTTCAGTTTGAACTAGCCACATTTTGAGTACATGTGTCCTAATGACTATGGTATTGAACAGCAGGATTGTAAATGGTTCAGTGCTATTTGGCCAGTGCCCTTAAGCTGTTGTTTTGTGTTCTATTGTTGACTTCTGGTTAGTGCTTAAATAGGCCACACATGCACCCTTCAGTGTCTGAAAAGCCATACACTGATGTGCAGTATCAAATAAGAGATAACTTCTAAACTCTGTTTTTCTTTCTTACTTAGGAACTTAGTAGAACTACCATAAAATAAGTTTTAATTATTATATGTCTATAAAATAGGAACTGCTACCTCATGGTAAGAAATTCTGAATTTAGTCTTACTAGGCTAAAAGTATATTGTGCCTTATTAGAAATAAGATGTAAGTGATTAGATGCCTCAGATTTTCTTTTTACATGTATAAGTGCTATTTCTTCTTTAAACCCTAGACTAATTAGCATGTTGCTATTTCTACTCAGATGAAGTGGTAAAAACTCCCAAAATGGTAAGGAATTTTTGTGGTGCAATATATAACAGTTTTTCTAGGAAAGGGTGGGTGACTGATCATGCACTGTAGTTGAAAAGAGAGACCATCTTACTTACACAGACAGCTGTAAGACAGGCCATTGTAAGCGCTGTCCACGGGGACAAGGGGAATTCCATATGAATGCTAGTGAGGAGAACAGAGGATGGGTGCTGGTGGTAGGTGAGTCTAGGGACACTAAATGATGGAGACTTGTGGGAGCCCAGAGTACAGCTGGAAATGCAGTGTTGGGAAGTTAATACCTGAACATGCACTCAGGAAGGAGAACATGTGTCTTTGCAGACAGCAGGCAGATAGTGGAATTCACATGTGCTTTAGAAGAGGTGATTTCTCTAGGTAAGTGGAATTAGAAGCATTTCCTCATTTTGCCAGGATGTTTCTGACACTGAAGATGTGTTTGTGCCTACTTTAAGAGTCCTAACAGGATCATTAAATACTTACCAAATGATCAATTTTGCGTGAATATTTAAATGTGTGCTTATTAAAATTTCACATTGTATATGTGTGTGTTAAGTTGCCTAACTTGAAATAGCCAGGATTTGAGGTTATTTAAGTAACTACTTGTAGTTCGTATTGAGTCTACAATGTAAGCTTATGTAGTAGGTGTCTAGAATTAGAATAGCTATGAACTCAGGAGTGTTATTACTGAAGAGATGATTAAAATGATGAGGACACTTCTCCAGGTGGGGGACTGCAGACAGCAGCAGTGTGCAGGGAAGGGCAGACAGCCTACTTTTGCTTTAGGTCAGTCTATTCCATGATTTTTAAAAGGTATTCTCACTGTGGTTTTTCCAAGTAAGAGGAAGATTATTTGGGGGTTTCTTAATAATACTCTGGAACATACCAGAAATGACATGATTAATTTATTGTTCTAAATGATATGCTTGGTGTTATTTATAGCAGTGCTACTAAAATATATTAGTTATTATTGCCAAATGTTTTTCTTGCTAGAGATGACAGTAGTTGGTTTTTATTTAAAGAATAAACGTTTACCATTTAAATTGTAATTGAAACAGTGACACAGCAGTTAAGAACATGCAGAGGCCCTGAGTTCAATTCCCCGCACCCATATAGGGTGGTTCACAATTACCCATAAATCTAGCTTCAAGGGCCTCTGGTCTTGGTGAGTGCTGTACTCGTGTGCACAAATCTATACTTTAAAATTATGCACATGCATGTAATTAAAAATAAAAAGTTAGATGAATTGTAAGGTCTGCGTTGCATTACCAAAACTGCAGTGCAGAAATGTAATCAGACTCTCCACACCACCAGCAGTGCTGCTCTTACATTCAGCAAGCATTGCTTTCCTGCCAGTTAGTAGGGAGCAGAAGTCTGCCTCTGCTTTCTGAAGACTAGGATTAAAATCATGCATCACTATGCTGTGTGTGTGTCCCCTATTAAGCCCTGTAGTGCTACCCATATACGCATAGAGTGTATGCAGCCATTCACTGACACATGGGAAACCTACCAGTGGCCACACCCCCAAAGAATGATTTTTTTTTTTTTTTTTTTTTTGGGTCAGCCTCTGTCAGCTGACAATAGCTCCTCACCTAGGGGTGAGGCCTTGTAAGATCTTCTCCCACCCATGCTGGAATTTGGCTGGCTTAGACTTTCAGGTAACTGCAGCCACTGTGAGTTTGAGTGCAGTGGCCTTGTCATACCCAGAGGTCAGCACATTCACAGCATTCTCCCTGCCCTCCAGCTCCTCTCCCACCCCACCCCACCCCCTTCTACAGTGTTGATTGAACTTTGCTGGGGAAGGAGAGGATTTGGAAAAGATGTTAAGTTTGGGACTTACAATCCATTACTTGTCCTTAGCCTTTTGACAGTTATGAGTCTTTACACTGACTGCTGCCCACTGCATAAAGAGGCATCTCCCACCTAGACTGAGAATAAGTCTGTGGATATGAAGAAGTATTTAGAAGGCAGATTGACAGCACAGTCACTCAGAAAGTAAGAATAGTAGATTCCCCAGTAGGATCTCTGTGAACTCCCAGCCACGGGCTTGGCCAAGATGATAGCACCAGTCACTAAATTCCCTCTGTGGAGTGGGCCGCAAATATAGTCAGAAAGCACTTAGTTACCTCGGTCACAGGCATGTCACTGTTGCAGCATTTGGTACATCTTGCTCTGCAGGTTGGTATTCTAGTAAGCAGGGACAAGCATTAAATAAGATTATTGGTGTCTTTTCTCCCCCAGCAGCCTGCACTGTACTTTCTGACACTTTGAAAGTTAGTCCCCAAGGGAGGAATTTTCCCTTTTGGTTTGAAATTAATTTTTATGTTCTGTAACCAAAGTTTTGGTACTTCAGTGGTAGGCTCTAACCATGTAGCTAAGAGCACTGCCCATAGCCTGCACTATTTTGGGGACTTCTGGATCCTCCTTGACCAGCAGCTTGTAGGGAGAGAGCCCATGCCTGGCCCTGCAGTTTTCATTTATCCCATGTCTTCTAGAATGGTGCTATTCACTCCATGCAGTGTACCTCTGTTGAGACTCCTCCTACTCCACCCTCACAACGATATGTTGATGTTGGCCTTCTGACTTAGGGATTTACATGAGACTTTTTCATATAGCCTACCTTTCTCTCTACCATTTCCTCTCCCTTCCCTTGCTTAATCCTTTAACCCATCTAATGCCAGATTTATTCTACTATCCCCTCCAGTTACATTTTTAAATTGGGTTACAATTTAGCGAGTTTCTTTATGGCTTTTCATACTATCTTCAGAATTCCAGTTGGTTTTTTTTTTTACCTATAATGCACTGTGGCAGGCACTGCCACCTCTCCTAGTTGTTCTGTGGTTGCTGTGCACACCTAATGACTACATCCTCCTCCTTACTGCAGGGGAAAAGGAGCCAGCTTCAGCAGTAAATTCTGTAAAATAAAGTTGTTAACTAATAGGAACTATGGATTGTTTGCACATAAAGATCACATCTTCCAGATTATTACTTTTTTAAAAAAATCTATTTTAATTTTTTGAAATCACTGTTTTGGTGCTTACTTTTTTTTCTTGTAGGACATGATATCTCATAGCTATTAAGGTGACTGTGTTTTCTGCTGTTAGTGCAAAAGTATATATATACTCAGTTGTGCTTCTACTGATACCCAAGTAAGGTTTCATGCAAATGACTGCTTTAATAGTTCCAATAAGTAATCTTACTGGAACAGATCAAAGCTGATCTGTTGATACTATGATCTCTAAGCAGAATATTGATCCTGAAGTTATCTATGATACCTAAGTTTTTCTTGAAGACTCCATTAGGGTTTTTTTTTTTATAAGAATGCTATGTATTTGTGTTTGAATCCTTAGTTATATATGAGTTGCAGTATAGTATTTTCTAAATAATTTTTTTTTTTACTTAGTTCATAACTGCTTGCTGCAAGTTCTTTTCTTGTTTTAAAATTAACAACACCACAGCCAACTCTCTGTCCCAACCTGGTGAAGGGTTGGCCACTTGAAGAATTTCTCATTCTCTTGGGTTTGTGACTGTTCAGACTGTTTATAAATACTCCTTTTGAGTATTCCAAGCCTAAGGGTGTTTTCTCATTAGATTGTCCATGAATTGACTGATTTTGTAGGAGTAATTTTCTTCTACACCTGAACTATAGAATAGAAACATTCCTAACTAGTTTCTTTAGTTTTTGTCAAAAAGTATGTTCTACTAATACAGTTTTTATAGTTCTAGTTTTTGTATAAAATGAGGCCTGAAAATTTGTCAAGTTACTCATGTGTATGTGGGCAGGGTGTTACTCATTTCCTGCAGTGTGATTTCATTGTGTTGTTCTGACCTTCTTTTTTCATAGGGTGCTGGCCAGGATAAACTGGGAATCTACGTTAAGTCTGTTGTGAAAGGAGGTGCTGCAGATGTGGTTAGTATTTGTTTAAAGGAAACAGTTGAAGGGCATTATGCTATGTGAAATGCTGTGTGGATGCTTCTAGCTGTGGGTGCTGTGTTGTGTGAAGGATGCTGCTATGGACTGACAGCTGCCTTTCTTTCTCCCTACACTTGCATTCTTCTGGTGGCTAAGGATGGACGTCTAGCTGCTGGTGACCAGCTCCTCAGTGTGGATGGACGAAGTCTGGTTGGACTTTCTCAGGAAAGGTATAACTAATTGGTGTTTAAAGCTTAGTCTTACTGTATTGAAGTGATATTTTACATTTAATTTTGAAATTGGAATTCAAAGAGTAGTGCTGAAATACTCCATGCCCTCACTTGCCTCTTTAATTCTATAATTCTTAAGAGTACATAAATTCCATTTTTCTGTTCACTCATAAATACATATTTTAGTCCAGACTTTCTTTAAATGAATATATAAATATACATATATTCACATATACTTAGTACTTATAGAATTTTTAAATATTGTGTGAGTATTAATATGATAACATAGGATATATTTACATGTTTTTATAATTTCAAAAAGAATATAGGTAGGAGGTAATCTTTCTGAAAGCCAAATTTATTTTCTCAAGCAGCTCTCTCAGGTTGAGGAACCTAAGCCTGAGTGTTCTGAACACAGCTTCTCCTGTAAGCACTCAGTTTTCTTATACTCTGTATTTTCTTCCTAGGGCAGCAGAACTCATGACAAGAACGAGTTCCGTGGTCACACTTGAAGTTGCAAAGCAAGGCGCCATCTATCACGGCCTGGCCACCCTCCTTAACCAGCCATCCCCCATGATGCAGAGAAGTAAGAACTAGTGGCTCAAGCCCAAGTAGCTGTCCTACACTGATTCTGCACTGTACTATGACTCCTCTGAAGTGTCCACAAACTGGGGCTGGAGGGTGCTCAGTAATTAAGAGCACCCTCCTCTCTTCCAGAGGACCTGTGATCAATTCCCAGCACTTACAACTGTCTGCTGTTCCCTTTTCAGGGGATTTGATGCCCTCCTCTGACCTCCTTGGGCACCAGTCCAACACGCACATGTATACATGCAGGCAAAGCACTCATACATATAAGATAATTGTTTTTACAAAGGGAGTTATCAGAAGTCCCGTGTAGCAGCTGCTGGTACTGTTACTGCCCAGTTCTTGAAGTTAAAAGTTAAGAGTGCATGGTGCTGAGAAATACTACCAGGTCAGGATTCAGGTGGACACCAGCTAACCTGAACCCAACACTTTAGTTTATCCAAGTTCCCCTGGCTCTCAAGAGAATTTTAACCTCAGCCTGTTTGGCTGGTTATCTGCTAATGATCTCCATAGATCGTGTACAGAGTAGGTAGATACTCGGGCACCAGTGAGAATGAATAGATTTTGAATTTTGATAGGCACAATCAGGACATAAAGTCTTTAAGATAGGAATTGTATTTCGTATTCTTTAGAAGAGATTTATATGCATATGTATGTCAGTAGTACTTTTAATTCTGCCTGTACTAAAATAAGGCAAGGTTATCTTGCCATATTTCTCATCAGAGAAAATTCAGTTATTTCAACAAAGTAAATTATTTGTGGGAACTGATCCTCCAGCTATATTAAAATCTTTAGGAAAAAATCAATATAAATTTAAAGCTTCCTAAAAATTTATTTTAGAAACTATAAGAGGAAGAAAACATTGTGACTCTTATTATTCTATGATCATTGACCCTTCAGATCAGCCTTAATGATAGATTTTAGTAAATGTATGCACAGTCTGTTAAGTGTAGTTTTGTTTTGTTAGCTGCCTTCTCCCCAATCAGCTTTGGAACCTGCACATCCCAGCCCTTGTTGTGTATAGTATCCACAACAGGAAGAGTGTCAGACAGCCTAGAATCCCATTTACTGCAGCAGAGAAACAGCAAGGTATCCTGACAAAATCACATGTTGGCGTGTCAAAGCAGAACATCATCTTGAAACCCAAAGAGGGGAGTGGGTAATGAATCAGTCCCAAGTCAGCAGATAAGAGACTGCACTGTAGGCAGTAATCATAGCAGGTGACGGCAGTGGGGTGCCATGACTCTGATGGGTATTAATATGTGTTCTGTCAAGTGAGAGGAGCATATTTACCTTTGAGGACTTTTTAAAAATTACTCTAAAATAGTTACTTTGTTACTTATAATAAGTTACGGTTCATTTGTTGAGAAAATAATGTCAATTTTCCCCATAGATACATACCAATTAAATATTTTCTAGTCAGAATACATTTTAAAGTTTGAAATTTTTTTTTATATATAAAGCTGTTTGTGATGGCACACACCTTTAATCCCAGCACTTGGGAGACAAAAATAGCTTCCTGACTTCTGTGAGTTTGGGGCTATCCAGTGAGATCTGGGTTTTGTCTTGTTCTACTTGCTTGTTTATATTTTTTTTAAAATTAACCTATTATATGAAGAACTGTTACGAAACATAAGTATTTAGATGCATCCTTTGAAGTTTTTCAGAGCATTCAAAGCAGACTCTATGAACCAATGGAGGAACAGAGAATGAATGAATCCACTTTTATTTCAGTTTCAGATCGTCGTGGCTCAGGTAAACCCAGACCAAAGAGTGAAGGTTTTGAGCTCTATAATAATTCAGCTCAAAATGGCTCCCCAGAGAGTCCTCAGCTGCCTTGGACAGAGTATAGTGAGCCAAAGAAACTTCCTGGTGACGACAGACTGATGAAAAACAGGGCTGACCACCGCTCCAGCCCCAATGTGGCAAGTAAGAAGAATCATTCGCTAAGGGTGTCTGGTCACTGCCAGAGGGAGTGGGCACATTGTTCTTTGCCAGTTATTACTTGCATTGTTGTCTACCCAGAGTGGAGTTTTCCTAGAGGTATCATATTCTTTGAAGGAAATAAAATTTCAATTTTACTTGTAAAACCTTTGACTCAGTAAACACTGTAGATCAAAATGTCTCTGGGAAAGGGTATCAGGTTGCCAGCTTAAGCTGAGGTCTTTTACATTTTAAAGAATTGCTAACAAGTAAGAATGGAAGGCTGTTTAATAGAGACCTCTATTAAATTAAAAAAACATCAAGTGTTTACTCTTGTGTCTCTTTACCAAAGATGCTAACCATTTCCTGGCCCTGGAGGAAGCCCTTTTCTGAGTTGATGTGGGGGTGTAGGGAGTTACTTCTTGTACACCTTTGTCTCTGGCTTTCTGCTAGACATCGAACCAGTGTGTGATATGGCTACTGCCTTTGAAGGAATGTTGCTGTGTTTATTTTACTTGATATTTAATATGAAACTTGGGTTTTCTTGATTGTTTCCAGCAGATCAGCCTCCTAGCCCTGGAGGGAAGAGTCCATATGCTTCTGGAACAGCAGCTAAGATAACATCTGTCTCTACTGGAAACCTCTGCACTGAGGTCTGAGAGATGAACTGAAAGACTTTCTCACTTGTTATCACTTGTTGACTGAGTTATCTGATAGAGTGCTCCACAAGTTACATTGACTATGTAACTCCTGAGTTTTTGTTATTTAATATTTTTATTTTTAATATGCTAGTTGGATATGTTAATTTTAAATTAATAAATCTGGGGGAAATGAGAATTAGTCCTAACTGAGTAAATCTGGAAAAATTAAAATGTTTCTCATGATTCACAATGTAGGATCACGTTTTTAATTTTTAGCATAACACTTAATGTACAGCATTTTAAAAGATTGTAAAACAGATCGCTGGATGTTAAGTTAGCCTTTCATACAATTTTAAATAGCTCTTTTTTTTTTTTTTTTGTCTTTACATTTTATAGGAGCAGACTCCTCCACCTAGACCTGAAGCCTATCCCATCCCTACTCAGACGTACACCAGAGAGTATTTTACCTTTCCAGCTTCAAAATCCCAGGATCGGATGGCCCCTCCTCAGAACCAGTGGCCAAATTATGAAGAAAAGCCACATATGCACACAGAAAGTAATCATTCCAGTATTGCAATCCAGGTTAGAAATAGTGGATTCACAAACTTTATCATCTCTCAAAGGAATATGGTACAGAAGTTTGGCAGGATAAAGACAGTGATGGCTGTCTGTATTTTTCTTTAAAAATATGTATTTTGTGTGGGTTTGTTCCGAGTACATGGGGCACATGGACAGAAGTTGGAGGAATTTGCAGGGGTCACTTCTCTCCTTCAATCATACGGGTTCTGGGGATCAAACACAGATCAGCAGGCCTTGACAGCGAGCATCCTTACCCTGATGAACCATCTTGCAGCTCAAGAGTGAGTGAGTTTTGAAACACAATTGGTATCTAATACAACAGTAAAGTTGTCCTCTTATTTTTGTATGTGTGTTTTAAGTTTGAGGCAAAATGGAGTAGGCTTAAATTCAGAACACCCTAAGAGAAGCAGTTCTGGTCCCTCTTAAGGTTTGGTTAATGAAATGTTGATAATGTAAGGCATAGTTACTGCAAATGAAAATATAGTGACTGGCATAGCTTGCGCTTGGTTCTGTGTCTGCCAGATGATCTCGAGGTGGGGCTGAGAAGTGAAACAAACAGAAAACACTCTTCTTAGAGCTGCTGAAAAAGTGGGCACCACTGGGGTCTCGGTGTGGGAATAACCTGACTTGTTTAGAGTCCATCTCAGGTGATTGTGTGGAGAATGTTTCTGAAGGAAAAGGCCTGGGCATCAGAAGGCAAACGGGGCTCATTAGAAGATTGTAGAAGCCTGCTAAGGAGATGTCAGTCTGGGGAGTTAAACTGGGAAGTACTATCAGATGTGACTGGGAGAAGAAGCTAGCATTGTACTTTAAAGAGAGAAACCGTCTAGGACACGTAAATAAATATGTGTTCTGGAGAGTAAATGATGTGGGAATTCCAAAAATAATCATTTCTCATTAGAGTGGACACAAAAGACTTTTTTCAAGCAGACATGGGATTAGAGCTTAGCCTAATGATGAGGGGAAAAAACAAACAAACAAAAAAGAAAAAAAAACAGGCAGAGAGCAGAAAGGGTTGTGCTTGTAAGAGACTGTGCATCAAGAGAAGAAGAAACTTCCTTTAGGCAGAAAGTGGTCCTCTCATCTGTTCCGAGGGGCGCGTCTGCCTTTTCCTGGTTGGACCTCATGACTGCTAGCAGCTAGACGTCCTTCTGCCTGCCCACATCACATCTTCTCAAGTACCAAACCAAGACTGCACTAGGCAGCAAGTGCAGAGAGAGTTGAGTTAGTTATGGCAGGGCCAGGTCTCTGTTCCACAGATGGCATATAACTCCATGATGTTCTAGTGTGGGTTGTAAACTGGGTGCCACCAGGATGAAGAACCTGTAGAAAATTAAGCTTTACCCAATTGGAGTTAATGTTACACTTTTCCTGTTGTGGTTAAGTGGTAATTCATATTTTCTTAAAAGGAAATATAAATTGTTTAATTTTCAGGTTTACATTTTCAATTTCTGCTCATTATAAAAGTGGAATAAAGAATTAATTTACATATCATAATGATTATTTTTATAAGGATAAGCTGCTTCTATACATGCTACTTTGCAGGCTTCATTACTAGCCTTGTGGAGGGAAAATACTTGTTTTAATCTTTTTCCTCATACACTCAAAAACTTTATGCTCATCAGAGTATGCTATTGCCTTTTTTCTTTGCTAACATTGGAGCTAAAACATCTTAGATGAATGGAACTTACTCTTGCATGCTTGGTTCAGTCAAAGAGCTCATGAAGCTAGTCCTGAGCTGTAGAATTCATTCAGAATTGAACCATGGATATATACAATGAGTATTACTTAATAGTTAGAATTATTGTCAGGATTGTTGCTTTTTTTTTCTTGGTTTCTACTATGCTCATTCATCTCTGGAGCCTGAGGAGATGCCTTTACCTGCCAGCACCAGAGTGACAGGAATAGCATGCATCATCAGAGAGACAGAAAATCTTTATTTCTTTTGTAGACAGATTTCCAGCTGTGTCATTTGCCCAGTGAACCATAAAAACAGTCTTTTTCTGGTTATACATTCATTCCACCGTGTTTTTAGTCTGTTCTCCGTGAAGATTAGCATGTATGACATTTTGGTGATTTCTCTAGTGACCCCCTAAAGTATTACAGTTTCCACTTTATCTTCTCAGCGTGTTACCCGTTCCCAGGAAGAGCTTCGAGAAGAGAAGGTTTACCAACTTGAGCGGCATCAAGTAGAGGCTGGCATGGATCGCAAGTGTGACAGTGATATGTGGATCAATCAGAGCTCCTCAGTGGACTCTAGCACATCCAGCCAAGAGCACCTGAACCATTCCTCCAAGTCAGTCACCCCTGCTTCCACTCTGACCAAAAGTGGTCCTGGACGTTGGAAAACCCCAGCAGCAGTTCTACCCACCCCTGTCGCTGTCTCCCAGCCCATTCGAACAGACCTACCTCCACCACCCCCTCCACCTCCTGTCCACTACACCAGTGATTTTGATGGCATTCCAGTGGATTTGCCCCTCCCACCTCCTCCTACCAACCAGATAGGACCCCAGTCTGCTCAGGTGGCTGCTGCAGAGCGGAAAAAGAGAGAAGAACATCAGCGGTGGTATGAGAAAGAGAAGGCCCGCCTCGAGGAGGAACGGGAGAGAAAGCGCAGGGAGCAGGAGCGGAAGTTGGGGCAGATGCGCACACAGTCCCTGAACCCTGCTTCCTTCTCTCCTTTGGCCACACTGACCAAGCCAGAAAAGCCTTCCACATTGCAGAGGCCCCAAGAAACAGTCATTCGGGAGCTGCAGCCCCAGCAACAGCCCCGCACGATTGAGCGCAGGGACCTGCAATACATCACCATCAGTAAAGAAGAACTGTCTTCTGGTGATAGTCTGTCTCCAGACCCCTGGAAACGAGATGCCAGGGAGAAGCTGGAGAAGCAACAGCAAATGCACATTGTGGACATGCTGAGCAAGGAGATCCATGAGCTGCAGAACAAGGTGGACCGCACTGCAGAGGAGAGTGACCGCTTGCGGAAGCTCATGCTGGAATGGCAGTTCCAGAAGAGACTGCAGGAGTCCAAGCAGAAGGATGAGGATGATGAGGAAGAGGAGGATGATGATGTGGACACCATGCTGATCATGCAGCGTCTGGAGGCTGAGCGCAGAGCTAGGGTAAAGGGGAAAGGCCTTGGTTGTGCGTATCTGTGCTCCCTATGGTATTTTCTGGGTGTTTCTGTGAAAACAACTATTCACAATCACAAGGAAGAGTTAAGAGGCCCCTGGTTTCACCTGCTCACTGGCTGCAGGAATGAGCCAGGCCCCTAGGGCTTCATTGTTTTAATTAGCCAGCCACATAGTTATCCTCACTACACTCAGTTGAGAAAACAAGTACCTAGTAATGACCACTCACAATTATAATCAGGGCTTGGCTGACAGAGCCAGATGGTGAATACCTGAGATTTGGTGGGCTCTGTAAAGTATAATAGCCACTTGGCTCTGCCGTGAGCAAAGCAGCCAGAGTTATCATAAGAACACTGAGCTTGGCTAATGTGCCAAGGGCATCCCACGGAAAGCTTCAGGCCCTGATACTGATTGTGAGCAGAGGAAACTCAGGACATCAGTTTTAAAGTTCAGTGTCATTACCAGATGGAAGGTCTGTGCACTTACTTTACAGTTGATGCCTCAAATATTTATTTAATTTAATAATTGTAGTTGTAACATAAAGATGCTAATAACTTTGGGTATAATTTATATTTCCATATTACAAAAATAATTTTTTATTATTTTTTAAATAAAAATTTTGTAGGCAAAATTTAGCCTAATGCAAATAAGTTCTTAAAATACCAAATTTTGGGTGAAAACTAGATTCTTTACTCCCTGTCAGGCATGGTTGTTGAGAGGCATTTATTGTTAATAACTTGGGCACTTGATAGTAACTTGTGCAGAGTGCTGTTGTTCGTCATGGTAGTGAGTTTTATTGATACTTTTTATCTATAAAATTTTTTTTCTGATTTCTTTTTAATGTTGCGCATGAGAGGGGTTGTTAAAACAGCTGCTAGGTCAGACACCTTACTCCAAAGGCATGATGAAATTTAATCTTTGATGATATTGTTAAGAGTCCAGTAGTGTGATCATCTCCTTTTCAGCTTGCTCTGTGAATTTTTCCTGAATCCATTAACACACATACTTCTTCATATGTACATATTTAAACATATAAATATATAATTGCTCTGATTCCGTTTAATTACCTGTTACATACTGGCTTTCTTAAATAAGACCAGAATGTAATTTTTAACAGTTAAACTATTTTACTAGTATTTTTCTAGTATCCTTAGTAAACATTCTTAAAAAATAACTATGTCTGTCACATCAGCCATTTTATCTAAAAGAGCAATTGATAGCTGGGACTACTACTATAAGGGTGCACTGACTGGTTCCCACTGTGTCCATGGTCAGACTCTCAGGCACTCCAATATATTTGTTGTCTGGACTGGCCAGAACTGGTGTATCCCTTTCTACCGTGACTAGCTAGTGATAGATACAATGATTTGTGGCTTTGTATTGCCCTCGCCCCAAGATGCTTGAAGCGGGTGGCAGCTGCTGTTGATGGCCAGTGATTGCGCAGCATCAGTGTTCGCTTCCTCTGACAGCTGAGCCCAGGAGTGAAAAGTTAGCCACTACATTGTAACATCCTAGTAATCTTTTCTGTGAAGATGAGATTTTCATTGAAGATTTGTCAAAGTTTTGCAAAATTGCCACTACTTTGAATATTTTGAAGACTTTAGTATGGATTATGATGCTTGGAATTTTTTGATATTTAGTAAATTTCATTTTAATAGTTATATTTAGTTTAATATCAATCTCAAAATAACACTAATGGAATTTTTGCTTTTTTTTGTATTTGTGCCTCTTAATGATAAAACTCAAAATATTAATGACATGTGGACATTTTTCTGTTTCTAAATGCTAGAAGTTAGTCTGTGGTTCTATAGTTTTCTCATCAAGTTATCCAAAAACAGATGAAGCATGACAGCAGCAAATGCCGGTGGCGGAATACAGGTCTAAACCTAACTTTTTTTTTCACACTTCATCTTTCTTTTTTTCCCCCTCTCTGTTACCTGCAGCAGACTGCTATGCCAGCAATCTCTGTTCTAGATTTGGTATGTTCTTGTTTCTTTCCCTTTGGTGATGGCTGTTCTGTGTTCTCAGTAGTCAGTTCTCCCTAGAACCTCCTGGGTCAGGAGACTAGCTCCGTGACTAGAAGCATGCCTCTGAATGTTCCTAGATTAGTTACTCTACTTCCTCGTTAACTTTAAATGTCACTGTTTGTTTATGGGTCTGACTTCTTACAGTTTTAGTCATAATTTGATTCTGTGTATTCTTACTTCAAGTATGTGGATAAATGAAATAAGGGTTGCACTGGGTAATGATGTCATTCTTGTTGCATTGGAAACAGATTTTAAGTGTGGTCACTGAACTCATTGAAAGGACACTGACTCTACTCCCAGGTTTGAATGTAGCTAAGATGTCACTGTTTATGGTAAAACAATAGGTTTCCTAAGAACCTGCATCATATTTTTCTTAATACCATGTGGATTTTAGTTAGTTCACTTAGCAGAAATACCAATTTATAGTCTGCCATCAAACATTTGCAGATTATTTTGCTGTTAAATCAACATGCTTAATGTTAGTATCAGAGAAATTTGATTGATCATGTAATGTTCTTTATGCTTCAGTAATGTATTTATGTTACCTGATAGACAGTTATATTCTGACATATATATATTTATATTAATTCTTAACTCAGTATTTATTCTAGGTCAACTTCTAAATGATTTAAAAAAAAGTCAGTACTTTAAAAATTATTTGAATTTTAACTATAGTGGCCACCCCATCAACTACTAGCCCCGTCTTTTCTGTTATGTACCTGGAGGACAGGGTACCAGAGAGAAACATACACCCCATACACAAACTTAATGTATTAAGTTTTGCATAGGTTAGAACTTTGTTGTTGTGTTGAGAAAGTGTGTCACTGTGTGGACCAGGATGGCCCCAAACTCACGGTCCTCCTGGGCTTTCAGGTGTGCACCACATTAGTCAGCCTGGAGTCATTCTTGGTATCGGGCAGTCATTTAGGAAATATTTATCAAGTATTTACCCTTACAGAGCAGGTACTGACCAGAGGCACTGCCAGCTCTTGGCCCAAAGATAGCTTTCTGTGCTGTAGAGTTATCTTTGATGAATAATATTTAATAATGCTTGCATTGAAAGTTTTTATTTCCAGTCAGCATTTCCCAGTTTTTCTTGTTTTAAAGGAATATTTTGATTATTAGTATTGATCTTAAGCACTCTTGTTTCTAAGCACTTCCTATACAGTTTCCTAGTAGGTACTAATTGTTAACAACAACGCATTCTGCTCTTAACATGTCGGAATTGAAGATTGTCTTGGGAACCTCTTCCAGGAAATGAGTGGATAGTGGGTGTTTCCCTGCAGTCTTACGACATGTTCTTAGCATGTCATAGGATGGATTTGGGGTGACTCGTGGGGTAAATGAAGCAGGTTTTATCTTGTTAGGAGCAGCTAAGTTCCCTAAGGTTGGAGGACTGCCTAAACTGATGGCTACTCTTCCCTTTGTCTGATGCCACTGCTGGTCCATGGCCTGCCTCCTGCTGCTTCTGCCTGCTGCATTCTAGATCCATAACTTTAAGATCAATAATGATGGCAGTGACATCTCATTCATGGCTCTAGTCTAGCCCTCTTGCACAATAAATTTAGCTACCAACATGCCTGTATACCATCTCCTCCTGGTGGCAAAGGGGAAACTTTCCAAATACAGCCTGTGCAGAACTAAATCTCTCCTGTGCCTCTTGACTACAGCCACTCTGCCTCGACCTCCCCTTTCCAAGAGACACTTGTTAGTCATTTGAGCTTTACAGCCTTACATGGTCCCATTTCATTCTATTCAGAAACTGTTGCCCCTGCCCACCTTGCTGTCCTGGCTGTTTTACTCTCATTGCCTGCTGGGTTTACTAGTTGACGTCTAAAAGCTAGTCCTTGACTGCCTGGTGATGGCTGTATAACACAGGTCTCTGTTGTTTATTTTACATTTCTTCGTAACAAATCTTCTACGGCCCAGGAAAAGTCCAAACCCAGTGTGGGAGCCTTAACCCTCTGTCCCAGAGAACCACTATGAGTTTGCTTTCTGGCCTGCATTTTCCTGTCACAGTATGTATATTTTCTGCTTCATCAAAAGCACTTCCTTTTTATTAAGTGACGTACTGGGCTACCAGCCAGATATTCACTGGGCCTGTTCGTCCTTCAATGGCTTGTCTGAGCTTTGTCTTGTCACCACATATGAATGGGTCATGTGGTACCCTGGGTAACATGACTACTCACAGGAATGAGCTTCTGTGGGGTGAAGAAAGTGAAAAGTTGTTTCCAGTGGCCCTTGTAATAAGTCAGAACACTGTCGGGGCTTGGCCTTTGTATAGAATGCTAAGGCACAGCCTTTGAGCTGCCCAGGTGTAAAAGGGTTGAGTCAAGAGCTGTTTTAAGTACTTCAGACCTAATTAGAATATTAACTATCAAAGGAAGCATTCAGATGTGTCCTGGACTGATGAGTCTCTCTGTCTTTTTGGTATAGAGCTTAGAATTCACATTTCTTTAAGAAAACAGTGTGAGCTGTATGGTGTGTGCTGAGAGGAATTACTCTGTGCTGCTCTAGGGAGTCCTCTTTTTAATGTCCTCGGCCACTTTGAGAGGGGGCATTGTTTTCTAACCAGTTCTGACACTGGGCATGGAGCTTTTTCTTTAGGCCAGAATAGGTGGTCCTTTGTAGATCTAGGTTCTAGCCACGCCTTAAAGTATCAGAGGACTGCCTACAAGGCTTACCTGTGTTCGTTAAGTAACAGTTCAAACACATCTTTAGTATTAAGTCTTCAAAGTTATTTTTAATCTTAAAATTGAGATTGTATTTTAGAAAAAAATATTATCTGTATAGAAAAGGATTTTTAAAAAGCCTTTAAAGAGTCTGACAGATTTCAGATGCCAACAAGTAAAGGAAATCACCATCCTTTTTATATTAAGATAACTTGAATGTGGTTGTTAATTTAACAGTGATAATAATGTTAGTATATTTTGTGAATTTATAAACACACAAATTTCAGCTTACACTATTGTTTGACTGGAAATACCTTTTTAGAAATGAAGACTGGTGCAGAACCTGCCAGGCATTCCTACTGGCCCAGACTGCCCTGATTGGATCCAAGATGCCTTGCCCGCGCTTCGTTAGACTGTAGCAGGCAGGCACTTGTCACTGACTACAGAGCAGTTAAAAGATGCCCTTTCTCTGCTACTGCACGTCTGTGAACCTGACAGCTCAGTGCCCTGTAAGAGACACTAATGCTTACAGAGAGGAGAAGTGGGGTAAAATATTTTAAAGGAACAAAACATTTCAAAGTTTCAAAGTAAGGCGTACACAATATACTAAACAATAGAATGAAATGTCTTAGTTATAAAAGTACTCGCTAATTTGTCTTTTTAAAAAATAAGAGCTAATTGTGTTTATATTTGTTGTGAAGATATATAGAAACAATCTGTGAATGCTCCTATTAACCACCACCGCCAAATGAGAAGGCATACTTAGTACTATTCAAAGCCAAATTCAGTGCGGAGGCACTCGGAAGGCAGTCTGTCTGGGATAAAAGCGTATCTCTGACTTGCATATTCTAAACAGAATAAAACAAGCAATGAGCTAGCTGTAAAACAATAAAAAAAAATATATAGTAACCTATGAGCTTAATACACTGAGAAGACCTGTGGATGACCACCTCACCAGCCAGGAGAACATAGAACCATACTTTTTGGAGAAAATGTGTCTTGCCAGCTCTGTACTGCAACTGTGGTAATAACAATGAGTGCTGTAGTTGAACCAGCTGGCCTACCAGAGAGCAGTGTTTTCCAGGCTGAACAACAGGAAGAGCTTAGTTCTGGAGAACAGGAAGTGTAGCTTTGCATTTGCCCTTAAATTGCTTTCTCTGAGCATTTGCTAGTTCTTGTGCTGTTTAATTTTGGTGCTCTTGTGGGGTCCTGCTTCTTATTTGTCCCAGTGATCCATGCTTTATTTGGACATTGTTTATGACTTCTCTTCTGGGATGTGCACAGTTGGCTCTAGCACCCCACTGTAGTCCTCAGGGAAGACTTTGATCCTAGTTTCTTTTGTTCTTCATAAACAGTGTCTATGCCTGCTATAAAATCCACTCCCTAAATTCCAGCCTTTGTTTGGACATTATATTAAAGAAAAAGCTTTTTGTCTTTTTGAGAAGACAATTTTTCTGAGGTATTTTATTGTTTACGGACACGAATAACCCAAAAGTGTAGACTGGTTTATTCTTTTTTACTAGATACAGTGGGGTTTTACCTTTTTAAAATTTTTTGTGTATGAGTATTTTGCCTGCATACATGTCTGTGCCTGGTACCCTTGGAGGCCAGAAGATGACATGAGATCCCCTGGGACTGGGGTTACAGATGATGGCAGGTTTGCTGGGAATCAGACCCCCTAGAAGAGTAGCCTTAATTGCTGACACATCTCTCCAGCCCTAGATATCCTTTTTCATTGAAAAAGGATAAGATTACTAGATTTTTGTGGGATTTTTGTTTTGTTTTTATGTTTATTTGTTTCTTGAGACATTATTTCTCTGCATAGCCCTGGCTGTCCTGGAACTCTGTAGACCAGATTGGCCTCAAACTCACAGAGATCCACCTGCCTCTGCCTTCGAAGTGCTAGGATTAAAGGTATCAGCCACTACTGCCCAGCTGTGTTTTTTTGTTTGCTTGTCTGTTTGTTTTGGATTATTTATTTTGGTTTGCTTTTTTTTAAGCATACACATATAATCTAAATCCAGAAGTTTAAATGTTTTTTCTATAAACAGTGTATAGGAAAACTGGTGATTTTATAGAAATTTAGCCTCATCACACAAGAATTATATGAAGTATTTCTTAAGTAGCTAGAGATCAGCAGAATAGTTTTAGGATTCTTTTAAATTTTGGAGAATTTGAAACGGTCCTCTTGGTGATATGTCATAGTGCCGCTGTAGGTATTGCTGTAGCACAGATCTGTACAGCCATTTCAGTGTTACCACTGTCTGTGATAAAACTACAGATGTAGCTGTAGATCACGATAGATAAAAGTCTCTCTCCCACCCTAGAGCTTTTGATGAATAGAGAAATATGGTCAGGAGGTCAGGAGCCACAAGCAGCAAGGAGAAGCATGTCACAGGCATTGGAAGATAGCTGTTAGTGCTTGACACTGGGTGGGAAAGGTGTGCGCCTTCTGTCATTTCAGAAAGGTAGAATTTGAATGAGCAAAAGCCAGAGAAGTGGTGGATTAAGACAAGCATGAGAACTTTTAAACTTGCTCATATCCTGTATTGGGGAGTCATCAGTGGTCCCCCATATGCGTGTATACAGAAAAATGAGCCAGGATGAGTTTATTCCAAATCCCAGTTTCAGACTCATAACTGCAAGTCTGAGGTCTTGTCAGCTAGGAAGGGACTCTCAGAGTTGCCCAAGTAAAGGAGACTGCTTTTAACAGCTCTCATCCTCGCCTGGGTTCAGGACAGCTGCTCTGTGCTGCTCTGCAAGACCTACCCATGTCACATGAGAAAGGACTTTTCTTAACATTCAGGGTGGTTGTAGTATCTGTAGTTCTTAAAGCAGAGCCTATTGGTGATTGTAGGAGGTAGCTTACATTTACTATAACAAAAAAAATTGTACATGATTAATGCATGAGTTATGAAATAACTTGTTTCTTTGAGTCATGATTAATGGAAAATTAACATTGGGACTGTGGAAACAAAGCTTTTAGGTAATTTACTTTGAAATGATAAGAGCCTATTAATACATGAGCTTTATAATCGTCCAACAGTGATTTAGCCTGGTGTTTTCTACTTGACTTTCCATGTCTGTGTGGGTGTGTGTCTGTGTCTGCTTGTTTAAGGATGTGCTTTTTATGTCTGTGCTGGTGGGTTTTACTGGGTGAAAGTTAAAGTCAGTTTGTTGTTAGTTGCAGGATGAGGAGCGCAGGCGCCAGCAGCAGTTGGAAGAAATGCGCAAACGAGAAGCAGAAGATCGTGTGAGACAAGAGGAAGACCGCCGCCATCAGGAGGAGGAGCGAGTAAAGAGAGACGCTGAAGAAAAGGTTATGGTCCTCTAAAGGCAGCTAGTTTTTACCAGATTAGCCTGAACACAAATGGTTGGCTAGGGCAAAGGGGGCTTAGAAATGTGTGTATCTAGGATGCATAAGACAGAACAGGGACGGATCTTCCAGCCTTTGCTATTGGACCAAAAACTCTAGCCCCATCTGGCCTGCCTACCTCTCTTCTGGACTGTCTTCAGGCTCCTTTGCTTCTGAGCTGGTTTTCCTCCAACTCTTGAGCACCATGCCCCAGAGCTGGGGTCTGGGACATGATAGTGCTCTGGTTTCCAGACAGGGTCCAGGAGGCTTTTATGAAGGTGTTGCTTGTTCAGTTATTGTGAGAATTTAGTGTGAACTCTGGGAGGCAATAGGAGAATAGCAAGACGGTCGGTTCTCATTAACCACTTTAAACAGGTTATTCATAAAACTTCTTAATTCTGGTTGGTCGTAAAGAGGGTGGATGGCTCGTAAAGCACACACGAGGAAAATTCAATGTGTAACCCAACAAATATTCTGTTGATCTCTATGTGGATTTTAACTCAAGTAAGTTTCATAGTTGAATTTTAAAATGATAACAGTTTTGACATTCTTCAAAGCAGGAACTTTAAGATGTAGCTCTCAGATCATTCTGTGTCTGAGGCTGAGGCTTTCTTAGGTAAGAAGGCTGCTACCTTGAGCCCAAGTCGACTCTGCCCTGTCGCTGAGGATTGCATGTTTCTGTGTGGTTTGAGAGAAGCTATTTTTCTTGGTTACTTACCTTCTATGAAGGTAGAAGCTCTGAGTGTCACTACTTTGAATGGAGAAAAGTTTAGTTTTTATTAACAGTTACTTCCTTGATAGTCCCAGTGAACTATGTAAATAGGAATGCCCTCTTCCCCCAAAAAAATAAAAAAAATTCATAAATTTTAAGGAAGGTCTAAATTTCTAATGAAGAGATGGTCAAAAGACCATCTAAGAGTAAGATTGAGAGACATGGTGTGGTTCACTTAAATGAATACAGAGTGGATGATGTGAGGGCACACACCTCATCTAGAGCAGTAACTGATACCCTACTTTTACAGTAGGAGAGCGCAGAGCAGTTCTGAAACATGTGAGTCTTTCATTTGTGTAATGTCAGTTGAAGTGGTGATCCCTGCAGGAAATCAGGAAGTGTCCATCACTGGAGCCAATTTCTAAGTTATGGTGGTGGTCTCACTTCACTCTTTATTCCCGAGAGTTCTCAGTCTGCAGGGAGGCGTGCTTTCCCAGCTCAGGGCTGCCTCGTTGTAATTAGAACAGCCTGGGTCTTGCTGGAGCCTTGATGAAGCAGCCTGGTCTTTGCATCAGAGCTGTGTGCTCAGGGGAAAGCAGGCTGTGCTTTCTGTGTGGAGAAACTCTCGGTTATTTAATTTTTCCAATGTGTGTTTTCATAATTATGTCAAACATCCTTGTGTTTTAGTAATTGTTTCTATAATTGAGTAGCCACTGTAAAAAGAAACTGAAATACTATTTTTACTGCAGAATGTCCACAGTGTGATTCTTATGGAACATGTGCGTCCGTTTTCTGGATAAAATCACCATGGTCATTTAATTGTATTTGTTCTTGGTATAACTGAAAAAGGTTGGTTTGGCCTCTCCGTACAGTGTTACCAAACGGTTGTTCTTCATGTAATTTAATGTTCTCGACAGTACCACTTAAAAACCACAGACGTCGTTGTTGCTTAATTACCCAATTTAAGAGCGTACTGGTTTGGTATAGTCAAGAAGATAAAAATACCTTTCCTTTAGGATTTCACAACGTAGAACAAGAAATAAAGCTGGAAATTGGGACCAGGGTAATGAGTGGGACTGGCCTTAGTCTTCTCTTTTCTTTCTTAGGATGTGTATGTTCACTGTGTGTGCTTGTGTGTAGCTGTATAGAGACCAGGAAAAGGATGCAGCCTAGTGAGGACCGAAAAAAAACATCATACCAGCAAAGTCCCTACTGTTAGTTTTCTATGATTGAGTGAATATAAGCCTGGCTGCATTTGGTTTCCTAGCATTGAACATTTGCTTAAGTCAAGGCAGATTATTTTGTTTGCTCTTTCATCCCTTTCCATATTTACTTTCTTCTTGTGCTCTAAAACTCTTTCCAATCCTTAACAAAACTGTGTTGTTGCCTTTTTAAATGTTAAAAGAATTTCAATACTGTCAACTGTAGTTTGCCTGGATAAAAATGTACAGTATGTGTCGGAATATATCTACTATTACTATTAATGCTTGGCTCTCATTTTCTGTTCCTCAGAGAGTTTGTTAAGATTTGAAATATACATTAACTGTGGAAAGCACACTTACTAGATTGTGGCTTTGGGAAAATGGGTGATATTTCTTGCTATTTATGGTTTTCTATTGAAATGCAAAAGAAACAGGTAAGTTACTATCCTGTCCAAACCGAAAGGGAGAGGAAAAGTTTGAGGAGAAGAATAAAGAACGTAAATGATCCAGAGTCTAACTGTGACAGGAAGGTCCTAAGGTTTGACTAATCCCATGCCTCTGAGCAGTTTATGTTAGTGTGGGGCAGTCTGCGTGTATTCATACATCTGAGTTGGCCTGCTCCCTCTGTCACAGTGGTTCTGACACTGAAATGTGATGTCCTGTGGACATGCCAGTGTAGTGACGATAGTGGTCATCAGTGTACCTGTCGTTCCCTGTGAAGGTTCAGAGGTCCACTGATGCCCCCTGACCCTTGACCTCTTGCACTCTTGTTTATTCCTGCCTGCAGAGGCGACAGGAAGAAGGGTATTACAGCCGCCTAGAAGCTGAGAGGCGCAGACAGCACGACGAGGCAGCACGCAGGTTGCTGGAGCCCGAAGATCCTGGGCTGAGCCGACCTCCACTTCCACGGGACTATGAGCCCCCATCCCTGTCCCCAGCACCCAGCGCCCCTCCTCCCCCACCTCAGCGAAACGCCTCCTACCTCAAAACACAGGTCCTCTCCCCAGATTCGCTGTTCACTGCCAAGTTTGTTGCCTATGATGATGAGGAGGAGGAGGACTGCGGCCCAGCAGGTCAGGATAAGTACCCCAGCACAAGAAAGTCTCATGAGCACCTTCCTCTTGCTGCCCCTAAGCCGCAGCAGCCACGCCCAGCCTCGGATGGCATCTTTCTCTCCAACTCATTCCAGCCACCCTTGGCCAAAGCCAACAGTACTGCTAACAAAGCAGGCCCGCCCCCACCCCCTCCAGGCAAACCAAGCTTCTACCGGCCTGGCCACTGGAAAGGTAGAGGTAAAGAGGGAATGGCGAATCACACCTCTCTTGTCTTGATGATTGAGCCTGGGATCTCTGTACCCCTGCCACTTGGTACGGTACACTGAGACCATGCCTGTCTTGGCCTTGGGTATTACCTGATCACTTTAAGCATGTGATCTCCCTCTGCCTGTGATTGTGGTGTTCGTGCTAATGCTCTGTTAATTTGTTCTTGGTATTCCAATTCTCTTACACTTTAAGGCATTCTGTCTCTAATCCACTGACGACAGTCAGTCCTCCACTATTACCAAATTATTTCAAGTACTGTTGGTCTTGGCTTTTTTTCTGTATGTCTTCAAGTAATTCTTACCTTTCTTCATGCAAGTGCCTTCTCAAACATACCAATGTCTCTGAAGGCAGAGTGCCAGAGTATCACCTGCACTTTAACTTCACGTCCTTTACTGTGAGTTCCTGAGGCCTATGCAGTGACTCACACCCTTTGTGGAGCCTTGGTTGGGTGTTACGACACCCACTGAACTGTTAACAGTACAGCTTCACTCCCAACACAGGCAGCCCTTGCCCACAGACCTTAGTCTTGTTTCCTCCGTCCCTCTTACTTGTTCCACTCCCTTCATTATCTTGCTCTTTTGCACCTCATAGCATAGAACCCAAGCCTTTGTAGGCTTGGGGCTTTTGAGTGGGAGGAGGGACTGTAAATGACAGGATTGTAGCAAGCATTGCATTTATGCTCAGTTATGTTCACATTGAGGTGTTAAACTTCCTTGGCCGTACATGAAAGGGAAATTCTGGCATCAAGCATCCAGCAGTGTAATTTTAGTGAATGTTGAGTGGCCTTAAAATTCTGCTTGCCTTTTACACAAATAGCAATTCAGCAGTTCTAAGAGAAGCCAAACTCTCTTAAGACTCAGTACAGTTTATTTCCTGCAAAGAGCTTGCCAGAATTCTGGTTTGCTTTTGTTTTTTTGTTTTCTTCAAGACAGGGTTTCTCTGTCGCTTTGGAGCCTGTCCTGGAACTAACTCTTATAGACCAAGCTGGGCTCAAACTCAGAGATCTGCCTGCCTCTGCCTCCCAAGTGCTGGGATTAAAGTCATGCACCCCCACCACCACCCGGCGCCAGAATTCTTTTTCCCATGTGTATCAGACTTTAATCTGTTTTGGTATATAGTAGTTTCATTAAGTCACTCTGAAAGCCAAAAAGTCCAATCCTTTTATAAAATTTCTGTTATAAATGTTAGAATTTGGTGTTTTTTCAAGGCATTTATGGAATAGCAGTAAATTTTGAAGAAAAATGTTACTGATCTTATATCAAATTTTATGAACGTTGGACAGATTTCATAGTTTCAATATAGTTAGGAAACATACTTGTCAACTTTGGCCCTCAGTTATACCACTCACTTCATTTCACACCTCATGCACCTCTCTGGAGCCACCTGCAGCACATGCAGCAACATTCTGCCTCGTCTTCTCCCTCGTGGGCTCTCTCTAGCCCTTTCTGTGCTGAAGCGTGCCTCTGCAGGTGGGACTCGGCCTCTGCCAAGGGGTCATGTGAGATACAGAGCTTATGGAATTGAAATGATCAAGAATTTCAATGGCACTGTGTCTTTAAATGATATTTATGTTTTGCTAGAGCTCTTTGGAAATCACTTGTGATTGGCAATTTTGTACATATAATCAGGTCAAAGTTTTAACATTATAGCAAACTCTAAACACTCTGGAAAATTTGAACTGATTTTTGCTCATGGAAGAAGCCAATGTCACTCTCAGCAAAGTGCAGAAGTTCAAAACAGTGTTCTTACTAACAGACAAAATGAATATAAAGTTTTGAATTGAAATCAACTATGCAGGTTACTCATGTGGGCAATCATAGCTGGCTGTGGATTGCCAGGAGGCTTTGCTGAAGATGACACACTCTGTAGTGACTTGGGAAGCCTAAACTTCAGGTGTTTCGAGGTTGCAGTTTGAAGGCTGCTTTGCTCTCTCTGGATAAATCCAAAATACTCTACGCATAGGCTCTTTATATGGAAGAAATTCCATTCTCCTGTCTCTAAAGAGGAGTATTTTAGTGTAAAAACATGGTGTTAATTTTGTGGTCTGTTTAATCCAATCTTGTCTATGTTTGCCAAATATTCTGAGCCTTTTGTACTTTATTTTATTAAGAGCTAGTTTCTTAGATGTGAATCTGCTTTTATTTTATGAGTGTTTTATCTGCATGTGTGTCTGTGTCACAAGGAAATTGAGATGGTTGTAAGCTTTCTTATGGGTGCTAGAAACCCAAACCTGGTCTTCTGCAAGGGCAGCAAGTACTCTTAAAACAGCTGAACTCCCTCTCCAGCCCCCTTACTTTATTTTGTAATGTTATGTTGGATATTGCAATAGTACTGAGATATTATTTATTACAACATTATATAATTTGATACATGGTAAACCTTTATCTGTTTCATCTCTTGGCCTGAAGTCTTGGCAAATGTTGGCTAACTTGGGCATCAAGCTCAGCTGTGGTTTCTTGGCCAGGATAGACGTGATGCACACAGGACCAGTCTAACTCTGCCCTCACAGACGTGATGCGCACAGGACCAGTCTGACTCTGCCCTCACAGACGTGATGCACACAGGACCAGTCTGACTCTGCCCTCACATTTTGTTTCATTGGAATTTTTTTTTTTTTTTATCAGCAGCACTAATGTGGAATACTAGGAATTTTATTTTAGTTTGGTTTTGGTAACTGATTTGTTTCAAAGGCTTTATTTTGCTTTTAATAATTACAGCTATCTTGAAGAAATCTAGTAGTTATCCTGTACAAAGGAATTTTAATCATAGATGTAGGTTTAACTCTTAAACTGTAGGGTTGCCTTTGTTCTCAGTGATTATGTCTGAAAACTGTGGGGCTACAGAGATGGCTGGGGTTAAGAGTACTGTCTACTCTTCCAGAGGTCCTTAGTTCAGCCCCGACAACTACATGGTGGCTCATAACCATCTATAATAGGATCTGATACCCTTTTCTGGCATTCAGGTATACATGTAGAACACTCACACATAAAATAAAAATAAATACAAGTTTCACAAAAAATTTAATAAGCACAAAACTCCTACAGTGCATGGGAGTATGTCTAAAATACTCACTTCTCACTTCAGTTTCACGTGGCTTGTCTTCTGTGTTTGTGGTTAGTGTGCCATTGCTGACGTGAGGTCTTTTATTATTTTGCTTTGTGTTTTTAAAGACTGTGTTGCAGTTTTTCCATCTAAGAACAAAAGGCCTAATGTCATTTATTGGCTATGGTGGTGATTGGATTATCGGGCCCCTGAGAGTAGTGAGTTCTAATTGGTGAATCTTTGAGCATATGGAAGAGCCTTTGACTTCTCGTTTTCTCAGTAATTAAAGGAGGCTTGTTTTCCTGCAGACGCGATGATGGGTAAAGTTTTAGAGATAATTCAATACTTTAACTTGGCCTTTTTTTTTTTTTCCTGCAAAAGGACCGCACTCTTCTTACACAGGATCTGCAGGAACAATCCTGGGAGCCCATGATGCTTCCCGGGACCCAAGAGAGAAGCACACGAGAAGGTACTTAAGGGCTGGGCTGAGCTGGGTTTAATCTGTTCTGGTTTATTCTCATATTCTTGTCCTTGCTGAATCGTGTCAGATTTCATCAGGCATCCTGGTGTTTTTACTGTACAACATGTGAGAATGTAGGGTCCATACCCCCCCACCCACCCACACACAGGGTCTTTCTCTGTAGGTCTCAAACTTGTGGTAGTCCCAGTTCCTCAGATTCCCTAGTGCTGTGATTATAGGTGTGAGTCCCCACACTTGTATGTGCAGACCTTTTTAAAGTTGGTGTTGCTAGCATGCTTCTGTTTGGGGTAGATCCTGGACCTGCCTGCTGCACAATGGAAATGCTAGAGGCGTGAAGGCCAGGCCTGTCAGTCAACTTGTGGCCACAGTCTGCTTCCTTCTGGAATTGAGCTAAACATTTGGTCATCGTAGATGTTCTCTGCACTTCTGACAATGCTGGTCTGTCTCTTAGATTAGACTGGGCTGGTCTGTAATGCCGCTCAAGGACATGGAAGGTTTATGGAGATGCTGTGTTTTTAAACTGGATCTCCATTAATTAAACCTGTTTAGCTGGCAAGAAATGCTAGCTTGCTAAAATTGAACTCAATGAGTTGGGTTTTTCCCCCCATTTTTAGTGTAGATGGGTGGCACCAGGCATACAGGCATGTCTGTGTGTGTATGTGCCACATGTTTACATGTATGTGGGTGCGTGTGGAGGCTTCAGATTGACAGGAATAATCCTTAAGTCATTCTTACCTTACTCAATGAGACAGAGTTGTCTCAGCAGTATGTTTAGTCTTGCTAACCCGCTTGCTCTGGAAATCCCGTCTCTTTTTGAGGCTATAATTACAGGCTAGCTGCCATGAATTCCTGGTATTCATGTGATCTCTGGTTAACTCAGCCATCCCTAGTTTACTTACTCGAAGACTTAACTGTTGACCCAGGTTGATTATAGGCCTGTGCCACTGTCTCTGTCCTCTTTGTTTATTTAAATTTAACTATAGGAGCATATATTGGCTTTTAAAGTTCTTCTTGGACTGTAGTGTAGGTGTAGTTTGTCTCAGCCACAACACACGTAATTACAGCGGCGTACAACAATGAACACGTCTCACTGAAACTTTATGATCCTTAGGAAAATTTACTTAAAGACTAGGTACTTGTATTTTGATGCATAATCTTTTGTGTTTTCTTCTTGTCCAGCCAAGAAGCAGACTCACCTGGCAGTTCTGGAGCCCCTGAAAACCTGACATTCAAAGAGCGTCAGCGCCTCTTTTCACAAGGGCAAGATGTGTCTGACAAAGTAAAAGCTTCTCGTAAATTAACAGAACTTGAGAATGAGCTGAACACCAAGTGAGAAGAGAAAGAGAGCACTTTGTGCTCATACAAGATCTGCCCTTGGCAGTGGTTTTGTGGGGTTGAGCCTGAGGAGGAGGGAACAGTTCTAAGTGATTTCTAATTTCTGTTTCTAAAATGGTTTCAAGTTAGAGATGTTCCAATTTAAAATCTTGTTTTACTTTTCCAAGAAACTCTTGCCTAGTTCTTACTGATTGACTCATATGAACTTATCTTTTTTTGTTAGCTTCTTTGGGGAATCTTGGACTCAGAGGGCAGAATGAAGGGCAGTAAAGACCACAGGGTATTTCCTCTACCCTCTTCTTTCCCATCATCATTCCAAGGACCATAGGCCGACAAATTATCTTCTGTTCTTTCTCAAAACTCCACTTGGCCGCATAGACCGTTACTGTGTTCAGGAGCCAGGACTCCCAGTGTAGAGCCCCAGGGCAGGTGTCTTCCCACTGCACCTGCCATAGTGTGCATTAGGTGGCTAAGTGGAGTTTCTTATCTGTAAGGTGCACAACACATCATTCTTGACCAATGCGAACCCCCTGCTCAATCCTAAATGTTGAGATTGAGTAGCTAATTAATAATTCAGTTTTGAAAAATCTCAGATTTTTAAAGATTTAATCTTAGGGAATTTTATTTTTATAAATACCAAATCATCATTAGAGTGATCATTGGTGAAAATTAAAGATGGTGGTTATGTTAGGAAGTTACCTAGTGTTTCAGATATCCCAAAGGATCTAGAGCTCTCCAGCTAAACAGCGTTTGTATAGGTAGGAGCGGAGACAGCTAAGAAGAGTGGGAGCTCACAGGTGGCAATCAAACGTAACTAAAGAAAGATTTGTGTAGGTATGCCGTCAGAAAAGGAAGGAAGCGGTTACTGTGCCATCTAAACTTAAATACTGTAAGAATAACTACATTTCTTTCACAGCTTAGTAGAGTTGTTTAAATTTAATTTGTGAATTTGTGTTGTCATTCCTCCAGCTGAGTTGTGGGAGAAAAACATGAGTTTATTTTTGCAAGCTTTATGATTTCAAGCATACTTCCTATTTAACAAAGCCCTAATGTGGGTCCAGATTATCTTTCTGGACCTTACTATTCTCTTACATATCTGTACATTAGGAAAATAGGCACACTTTCAAGTAGAGCAGAGGCATTTGCAACCGTAAAAACCACTTTTAATAAGAACTGTATGATAAATTGTTGAAATAAAAATGTAAATATTTTTTATGTGTATCAAGCTTCCTATTTGAAAGTGTGCCTTTGCTGTTTTCTCTGTAAGAGAATTGAATGGTCCTGAGAGTTAATGAAGGATGTGCACACTTGCCCTGCCTAGGAAGTGCAATCTCTTTGTGTCTGGAGCACTGGCAGCCTTTGGGTGGCATATCCATACCTCCCAGAGAAGAGCAGATACCTGCTGTTGCTGGTACATGGGAAGACAGATGCACACAAGAGCCTGCAAACATCTGAAAACTCTGCATGTGTGCTTGTGGAACCCATAGTGAAATAGACTTGGCCATCCCTGGACAGTAAGATCTAATGTGAATATGTGTTGTAACACGTTACATAGCGTGTGTTACTGTGGGGAAGCACCCAAACTGCTGTTGTTTTCCATTTCTACTGTATTTCAGTTGCAGCCTATTTTTAATAAACTTTGTATCTATTTAAGTGTATTTGCTATTGTTTTCCAAGTGCTGACAAAGTTTATATTTGTAATGCCAGCCTTCCTCTCTCCCGTTTCCATCTGCCACTACTTCATTAAACAGTGCTGAGTGTCACTCCTGCGTCCCTCCGTTGTTTTTCTGTGTACAGAAGTGCTATTTGATTGATTACACAACGAGCTAAAAGGGTGGCCTATTCTTCATGACAGTGCTTGTGCTTGGGACCATGTCTCAAGTTTCACTGTCCCATCTTGGCCACTGGACTCCTGAACATTCTCAGTGATTAAGCATGTTGCATAAAAGTTATCCTGGTCATGCATGTTGCAGGCCTAAGAACCCACTCGAGATGACCGGAATGATGGTATGTTTTACTGTCATGGTACAAGGAATACTTGCTAATTCTAGCAGACCGAAAGCAAATGCTGCGGCTACCATTACAGCGCAGGGCCTCAATGAAATGGGGTGAGGGAATGGGGAGTTACTAGCCAAGGACATAAATCTCAGATGAAAGGGGAATAACTTTGAGTCCTGGTATATGGTAAAGTATTACAGCCAGCAATGAGCAGCGAAAATGAAAATAAAAAAAAAAAAACTTTAAGGAAGGAAGGCATGTTTGAGGATTGAAGGGACTTGTGGGGAATCTTTTTGGCAAAACCAGAATTTATATATTGGAATTATAATGTTTGTGTATACTACGTTTTAATTTACTGTGCTTTTAGATTCTGTAGAGACGCTTAGAAACTGAATCAGTGCTGACTCAGCACCTCTCCTCCTATGTGCCCCTCCCTCTTAGGGAAGTTGTGGTTTTGGCCTACAGTGTTGTCTGTTGTTTCTAACACTTCATAAGAACATCTCCTAAAGTAGAAATTTTTCTCTTTGCTCTCCCAAGTAATAAGGTGATTTCAGGTGTATTTATGCATTTATGATAAGATTAAACAAAATGTAAGTTGCTTGACTTGGCAGAATTTTTGCACCCCTAGAGACAGGGGATTTTATTCCTACAGTACTTCAACCCGTTTACTCACCGATGTGGGAGCATCATCGCCAGTCCTGAGATTCCCCTATACTTGTTAAGCAGTAAACCAGCGGTGCTGACCCTATTCACCCTGCATTCCTAGGCAGGCTGCGAGCACAGGGTGCTCAGGGGTGAGAAGGCAGAAGCAGACCACTTGTGTGTAATTAGCTGTTAACCGTATGAGAAATGAACAGGTCTGTGGGGTTGACCTTGTAGGGATGGTCTGCTCTCTTGAGATGGTACAGGATGCATCAGGGAGAGAGGCAGGACCAGAGAGGACTGGGAAGAGATGTAGGTGAAATAGGTTTTCAGGCCATGGTAAGGTGATTTATATTCTACAAGCATTGTTGGGATCCCGCTCTACTTTCAAGGGAGGAGCAACGCCCAATGTTCTATGAGCCGGTAAGCGGTACCCAAGAGAAACTTCTGTGGGTAGGCACGGCGCATGCGCAGAAGCCATTAGGGAAAGCTATCCCATGACTTAACCGCGCTCTTCACTCGCTGCCTACTGCAAAGAGGCCGGGAAATGCCAGGGAAATTTATGCCATTGGACTTCTCAAAACAGAAGTTGCGACAGCTTCAACATCAAATGTGGGTGAGTCTGAGTGGAGCCCCAACTTTGAAACCACGCCTCCCAGTCCCAGGGCTGTAGGGGACCTTGGAGAACCGGGGTTGCCTTGGGAATCATTCAGAGTTGTGAATCTCACCTTAAGCCCTCTCAGGAAGGAGACCAACTCTTATCTGCCTTGTGTTTTCAGCATCCAGAATCTAAGGATGATTGACCTGTTTCTCCCGACTGCCCTTAAGGTCCTTCCTTCAGTTCCCATGTGAGGCTTCCCTGACCGCTCAGCGGACCCTTAAGTCCACCTCGGTGTCTCCTAACCTGGCACCTTCTTCAGCTCTGCTGACCATCTATGAACTAACTGAGCAAGTTTGGGGACTACAGTAGTTACCCAGCAGAAATTATATAATCCTAACTGTTGCCCTCTTAGAGCACACAGCAGAACAAATAGATTGGTAAAGTAAACAAATATCAGTACCATGCTGAGCAGAGATCCCGAACCTTATAAGATCTATAATCAACACCACACGGGTGGTCTGTAGGGATCGGCCCTGAGGGCTTAGAAGAGAGAGGTCTCCGTGGAGAGTGATAATGTGACCAGCCAGGCCTTGGTGGTATACTAGAAGCAACATAGGGGCTGAGGGAAGAGGAGCTTAGGTCACACAGGCTTGTGACAGACACCTTAAGGCTCTGTTCTACCAGTCCTGGAGGCACTACAGAAGTGATCTCACCGGAGGGAGGACATGGTCTGATCTGCTTTTTTAAAATGTCAGTTTCCTGGGTGGTAGTGGTACAAACCTTTAATACCAGCCCTTGGGAGGCAGAGACAAGCAGATTTCCGAGTTTGAGGCCAGTCTGGTCTATAGAGCGAATTCCAGGACAGCCAGGGCTACACAGAGAAACTCTGTCTCAAAAAAAAAAAAAAAAAAAAAAAAAAAAAAAAAAAAAAAAAAAAAAAAAAAAAAAAAAAAAAACCAAGCAAACAAAGTGACATTTTGTAGCAGGTAGTGGTTCCTGGCCAGAGAGACACAGCTGACCGCATAAGCTGCACCTTGAAGGACAAGGCTTCCAGGGTCAAAGATGAGGAGCTCAAGGAACACTAGTGAAGGAGGGCTACGGGCAGCATTTCAGATCTTTGCAAATTTCCCAAAAAGTGCACATTGAAGGAGGAAGCATTTGTTCCAGCAAAAAGGGCTAAATTTTTTGAGGGTAGCACATTTTTCTTCTTCCACTCAAGCCCCAGCTCAGCTATACAGAAGCTTCATCCTGGGGCCCTGTGCCTCAGCACTCAACTCATGACCCAGGAGGAAAAGTACTTCTCACCAATCCAACACTGGGGTAAGCTGAGTGTGTGGGCTCCCATGCAGGCCAAGAGGCCTGGGGTAGTTTTTACCCCACGGCAGTTGTGTACTGGATGCACGGTGAGCTAAGGCTAAAAGCTCAGAGGAGGCTCGAGCCTTTCTGGTGGTATATGATCCATGAGTAAGGGTAGATGGGAGCTCTCATGGGAGACGTGGGTTGCAGGCTCACACGCACACAAGAATGCATTTCACTCATGGAAGACTGCCTCTCCAACTGCAGAAGTTTCTGTGTGCGGCCAGAAATCTTTGTTTGCAGGTGGCTGCTTCCCCATGGTGTCCTGGAGTCCGATCAGAAAGACACTGATGAAATTACAAAAGAACCTACCCTCAAGGCTTTGAATCAATTACCTTGTAGGCACTGTCTTCCAATGTCTCCTGCTAAGATACCTACTGAGACTTATACTTCACCATATGAATTAGGGAGTGGGGGTGGGAGTTACAGTCCATAATAAGCCACAGGTTACACTGTGGTCTAACAGAGACACTGGAGAGACCTAGGGTCAGAGCAAACCTGAAAGGATTGTCCTCACAGACTTCACTTAGCCCCGTTCTGATTGGCCCACACTTGGGAATGCTTGTGTCCCAGGTTCATGGTGAACACACCTGACTGGCACTGCTGCACAGCATTTTCCTGGTAGAATAGCTCGATCATTTAGGGACAAAAACTAGGAAAAGGCATTTTATCAGGAGGAAGAATAAAGCAGCCTTCTTGCAGATGGAGCCATATAGGTATGGTGCTAAGGAATGTGCTAAAAACCTTTTACATTAAAAAGTGAGTTATACAAAATCAAAGAACATAGCATCCATCTGCAGAAACAAATGGCATTTCTATGATCTAGCAATGAACACAAGTAAAATTAGGAAAACATTCCATGTGCAATACCATCCAAAAAAATCAAAATATTAAAAAAATCAAAATATTTTGAAATAAATTTAACGAAACACATACCAGACTTATAACTGCAGCTGCGATTACAGTTTGAAATCTATAAATTAAGTAAATTTCATCAACATTCCAGAGATTTTTCATATTAAAGAAATTTAACAGTTAATGCAATGTAAATCCTAGGTTTGGATTTATATAGTCACAGTTACATAAAATATTTTACCTTTAATGATAATAGATTCTTTGTGAGCCGATTCAGAGAGCAATTCTCTAACAGGAGGGACAGCATCTCCATTTGGAAACTGAAGTCCCTGCAAGAGAGACTGAATCTAGCAAAAATGACTAGACCTATGAAAGGAAGGACCGAATCTCCTGCAGGAATGATGGGATCCCTAGGAAGAGGGACTTAATTTATTCTCTGTGAAGGCTGGAGCACCAGCAGGGTACCAATCTTTAATTCCAGAGACTGTGTTCAGTAGGGTGGATTGAGTTTGCAGGAATGATACATCCACAATTTGGACACAGCCCCCAGTAAGACGACCGCACCTGGACCAGTCATATGTGGGAGTTAAACATGCACTTTACAGTGGTCTGTGCTCTACCTTCCTTCCTGAGTTCAACCTCTGTTCACCTTCTCCTTGACCTTCCAAGACTACCACTACCCACCTCTCTCTCTCTCTCTCTCTCTCTCTCTCTCTCTCTCTCTCTCTCACATTCAATGTTGAGGGTTGGGCTTTTTCAGGGNAACAAACAAAAAAAAAACACAAGGACATATGAAAATGCTACAAGGAATCAAACTATTATTTACAAAACCCACAAGAAATTCTGTGTATGAATATACATATATATTTTATATATAATTAAATTCTATATATAATATAAATACATATACATATTTTTTTTCTTTTGGTTGAGGGTTTTTCTGCATAGCCCTGACTGCCCTGGAGCTCACACTGTAGACCAGGCCAGCCTTAAACTCACAGAGATCGGCCTGCCTCTGCCTCTTGAGTGCTGGGATTAAAGGTGTGAGCCACCACTGCCTGGCTGTTTTCGTTTTGTGAAGGCTTCTGATTTTATGGCTTCCTCTGTAAACTCTCCACTCCCCAGCACTGCTCTCTGGTACCTTTCTGACCAAAGGATAGAGTGTGGAGTTTGCATACCTAGTAAGTCCCCGGGGCTGCTGCTGATGGTGTCAGGACTGCCCTTGGTAGGGTGAGCCCACACCCAGGGGTGTGGGTGGGAGAGCAGGCCAGGCCTTCCTGAGGTGGGCTGCTGAGCGACCTGATGGCCGGCCTTCCCGGCAGTTCTTTGCTGGGACTGTTCCCGCTCTTTCTTGTGCTCTCTGTGCATTCACAGTATTTCTGTGTGACTGGGTTTTCTGTTTGGATCCTTGGTTGTAGGTCAAAGAAGAAAGAATAGCTGAACTGGAAACAGAAAATGCTATTCTGCACCTGAAATTGGCAGAGGTAACATTTTAATGTGTCTTGTACACTGATAGACCAACATACCCAGCATGAGTAGTGTTTGGAGTCGGCTCCTGTACATGCGACTTTCATTTGATCTTTTGTCCCATTCGGTGAGGTAGAATGAACTCTTCAGGTGACACTTAGCATGTCATCCTATGCTGGAACGGGAATGAATAAGGAATAATCCATTAATGATACACCCAGCAGCTGTTTCTTAGTAGATGCGTTGTATAATTTATGCATCATGAAGTCCTCCACATTAAGTTGTATAATTCAGTGTTTACTAAGTCTGCAGATACACAACTGCTACAGACTTTATGTTGCTGTAACAGAATACCTGAGACTCCCTATCATTTACAAGGAACATTTGTGACTTTCAGTTTTGGAGTCCAAAATTAAGGCACTGCGGGTTTGATGTCTATGGCCAGCTCAATCCTCTAACTGGCACTGCCTGGATGTCCTCATGTGGTAGAGTGGATGAGCAAATCGCTGTCTAGCCTTGTCCATTTATGAGGGTAGAGTCTTCATGATTCCACCCCGCCTTTATATCACCGCAGTGGACGTTGTCAGCGTGAGTCTTGGACGGGCACTGTAGCCCCTAATGAAGCTGTGGAAGCTTGTTCCTAAGGCCCCCTTTTCAGTTTCCTTCATAGCCTTTTTACTTCTGAACAGTTCCATACCAATCCAGCAGACAGCCTTACCCAGCCACAGCCCTTCATTCTGTCTACAACAGATTGCTGGGCATCCCCAGGAGCACCTTCTGCTCGCTTCCATCCTATCTGAGGGAACTTATATGCTCTCGGGGTCAATCAGGGACTGAGCAGAAACTAGAAGTTTGTGTTGGACAGGGCCCTTCCATAGGAGTTCAGACACTGTCTCCATCACAGGAGCACATCCGAGGCTTGGGCCCTGCTTTCTTCTCTGCTCTAAAGAGTGAGAGGGCTTATCTGCCTGAAAACTGAGCACTGCTCTGCTATTGCACAAGACTGTGAGCTCTTGGCTGGGGGGAGCACAAGTGCGGCTCACTGAGATGTGTGGCTGGTGTCTGTGAGAGGCTGGGCCTGCCACATCCACTGCTTATAAAGACAATGGAAACACACAGGAAAGCAACAGAATGAGGCAGAACCCACAGTCATCACCTTCTTTGTTTGGGGCCCTTTCACTGACACCTGCAGAAGCCAGTGTAGAAGTCTGGCCAGCCCTGTCTTGTCCTGGAGCCTGGATATTTTCTCTGTCCTCCTTAAGTCTTAGATGCTCCTTCTAGCATGCCACAGGGAGTACTTTCTGTTACCTCCCGAAGTGCTCCACAGAAGTCCAGAAAGATCTTTTTAAAAATGTGTGTCTGTTGAAAAGCCTTCCTATTGAAAGCCTTTCCTGGTTTTGGCACTGCCCTCAAGTGAATCCCCAAGCCTTTGGCCTCTCTGCAGGTTGGCACTCCTTTTCCTTCACTTCTCTCCTGAGGTCTGTCACTCACAGCCTTGGCTTGGGCTTTGTCTGTCCCTTCTACCTGGCCAGTGCCTCCTGGCCTAGCCCCACCACCCCTAACCCTGAACTAACTGTCCATGCTCCTGGGATTCCTTTCCTGACTCTCCCCACTCTAGTTTAAGCTCCATTGGCTTCTCTCTTCCTGTGTAGTGTGTATCACGGACTATCAGTTTCCTTTTCTTGAGGGAAGGTACCTGCTGTGTTTTCAAGGTTTTAAAACCTTACATTGTATTTTCTTCCTCTCTGTACCAGGAAAGGATGAACAGGAGCAGGTGTGAGGCCTGGCACCATGCTCTGCTCAGAACAAGGCAGTGTCAACAGGGAAGTACCCATGCCGCCTTCCTCCAGCCCGCTGCCTGACGAGGGCAGAAGTGACCTCAGCACTGCCAAAATCGCCATGCGTGCACGGAATGCTGGCGGGTTCAGCTCCCCTGCCCAGTAAAGAAAGCCTACAGCATGATTAGCATCTGAGCGGAGATGAGATATGAGTAGCTTTTGGCCAGTAGACAAATGACTTGAGATGGCAGCAGTGGAGACTTAGCCTCACAAGTCACAGTTGTTATTTTTATGTGTGGGTCTTTTACCTGCAAGTCTGTGTATGACCATATGTGTGCCGTTGCCCTTGGGGAAAAGAGGGCATCCAGTCTCCTGAGATTGTGGTTACAGTTATGTGAGTGCTGGGAACCTGAACCCCGAGTGCTCTTTAACTGCTGAGCTATCTCTCCAGCCCCCACAGTGGTTATTTTAAAGTTTAGTGCTAGAAAGTGTTTGTAATAACGTAAGTATCCCATGCCCCAGCACTGTGTATGAGCTGCCCTTAGACTGTCAGTGGCTTCTGAGGGAAAAGCCAGGAAAGCAGCTATCTCACTTAGAATATTTGGCAAGTCTCAATGTGAGATTGTGGTAGATATTTTTATACCATTGATTAAAAACATTGTTCTACCTTATGTTAAAAACAATGTGACCAGGATGGGAAACAGGAAAAAAAAAATCCATCTGCAAACAGGATTAACCTGCCATGGTCAGATGTGAAGGTTTAAGCGGTGTGTGTTCAGAAGGGATTCAGATAGCACTCGCAGATTCTCCCCCACCTTAGTAAAGCCAGCCTATCTTTGAATAAGCTCACAGCTGTCTGCTTTATGTGATAAAGCGCCTTGATACAGCTTAGCTTTGCCATTTTTCCTTCTGATCGTGAAGCAAACTCCATTATTCCTAACTAAAGAGAAAAAGCATATGGTTAAGCTCACGTAGCATGCTATCATGTGTCATTGAGAGTGACTGCTAAGCCATACCACGTCCTTCCATGTGTTCATCGTCTAATCGTCACGCTGAAGACCTTGGGGTCACAGCTGGGGTTGGACAGGGCATGTGTGACATGACGCACAGGATATTAGCTGCATTGTTCCCCAAGTTCCCTGAAAGCTCGGATGCAGGCTGTTCCTGGAACTCTATCACGCACACAGATACTGCGATTGCTTCCTACTGGCCTGAGTTCATGGTAATGAGACCTCCAGAAGTTGGTTTGGACAGCCCATCAGAGCTTTGTTCTTGTTTCACACAGCCCCAGTGCTCCACCAAAATGATGAGGTTGTTAAATGGGTCAGATGTCCATGATGGCACCATGAGCTGTATTACAGACACTGGTCATATAACTTGGGTTTGTATTTCCTAAGAACCTTAATATGGAATATATGAAATCATGAGCTGCTCTCAAAGCGCTATATTGAGTTAGAATTGTTGGAGGGAGCTGGGCAGTGGTGGCGCACACCTTTAATACCAGTACTTGGGAGGCAGAGGTAGGCAGATCTTTGTAGTTCAAGACCTGCCTGGTCTACAAAGAGTTCTAGGACAACCTGGGCTGTTACACAGAGAAACCCTCTGTTTGTCTCAAAACAAAACAAACAAACAAAAAACCATAAAAGAACTTCTGAAGGGAATTGTGGTGAACACTCACCTTGCATATTTGTCGAAGAACCACTGCCTTATATGTCCCTGCTTCATAGCAGGTCACTTCAGGATTGCTGGCTGTAGGCCGCTTCTGTATCCCATGGGCTTTTATGATCGGTTGTAGTTAGACTGTAGTGGCTGATAATAGCATGATCAGTTGTGCTAACTGTGCTTTGATTGATTACACAGAAGCTTCAACAAGATGTCAAGGAGTTTCGGAATTCTTTCCTGGTGCTCTTACAAAGCTGTCAGGAGGAGTACCAGAGCTGCCTGTCTGACGTAGCGGCTGTTGTGCAGAGGGCAGAGCTGAGCAGCGAGGCTCTTCGAGGTGAGAGACCTCTGGGACCCCAGCCCATCTCTTTTAACTCCCAGCATATGCTAAATGATGGCAATAACAAATACTGTGCCACACACACCACGATGAGACGCCCCCTCCCGTGATTGACGGTCGCCTACCTGCCCTGTAGCTCCCCCCCCCCCGACACCCACATAGCATGTTCTCAGCTGTGATGTTCAGGGCCATGAGCTTCCTGCGTCAGATTTCCTCCAGACTAGGAAGTGAAGAGTTCTCTTCTGCCAGCTCAGTTGTCACATCCAGAAGTCCCGCTTGTCTCCCTTCAGCAGCACTGTGTGTACAAGAGCACGTTTATTCCCTAGTGCCATGCAGTCCACACCTGTGGCAAGTCCTAAGGGAAGCTGACCATCATGCTGCTATTTCAAGAGGTGCAGCAAAACGTGCTTTGTGGTTAGGCTAGCATCTTAGCTTAGAGAGCGATTGTCCTGGAATCTCACGGTAGTTTCCAGTCTCCATAGTCCAGTGCATTTCATTTCAGAAGCCTCCCGAGGCCTTGTAGGTGTGCATATGTATGTGTGCACACATATATGTGAACGGTATGCTTGTATACATGTGCACATGTGTGTGGTATATGTGTATATGTTACATGTATATGTGTGGTCTATAGTGTATTCATATGTATGGTTGTATGTATGATGTGATATGTGTACATATGTTCATATATGGTGCGTGTGCTGTGCATGATGAATACAGGTAGAGTGTCTGGTCTGTGTACATGGGTAGTATGTGTAGTGTGTATATAGTACACGTGTATGGTCATGGGAAGAGTCAATCATCCTTCCCAGGAGGAGCAGGAGCGAATCATGACAAACTAAAGGAAATGCTGATGTGCATGTGCGATGGTTTTATGGCCATCGATCACTACCCACAGGAGCGCTGTGCATGTTGTGCCTGGGAGATGCAGACGGAGGGCATCCCGGGCTGCGTGTTGTTCCTCATGTTGCCAGGGGTGGGGGAGTCTCAGAAGGTCCTAGTCAACTAAGACAGCATGTCCCCTTCACCAACATCCCTTGCTCAAGCAGCCCTACCCCATAACTGACAGGAAAGCGGGCCGCAGCAGTTCATGTTGTAGGCTGAGGAAGATGAGAGGCCAGCTGTGGGCCAAGCTGAAGAGCGTCTGTGTAGATTGCTCAGGGTAGGGCTTCTCACCTCTGCTGTGTCGGACACAGGCACCGGGAGTCTGTGTGAAGCAATGTGGGTCTTCCTGTAAAAGTTGGGTCCCAAGATGTGTAGTAAGAGCCAGAAGTCAGCCCAACTTCTGCCACATGTCCTTGTCCCACACAGAGGGGGCGACCTCATGGAAGCCTTTATAACTTGAGCAAGCTCAAGCTGGGGACATGTCAGCCCCCAGTGGGTGGCATTAGACCAGGACTCCTTGAGAATCACTAGTTACCATGAGCATTGAGCACCCAGAACCTCAGCTGGAGAACCCACTGTGGCCCACAGCCCCCCCCCCCCACCAACCTCCTTATGATTTAAACTTTTCTTGGCTAGGAGACCACAGAGTCTCCTCCTGAGAACCAAACTGTAACCTGGGGGTAACCTGTCCCTGCAGCTTCTCAGTCAGAGGCTACACACCTACAGCAGTGCTTGCAGAAACTGGAGTCACGCTACCACTTGGAGCAGCAGAGGAGGAGGACCCTCCATAACAGCCTGGTGGTGAGTGCCTGCATTGTCAGCACAGTGGTTCAGCAACTCAGAATATGCCCAAGGATGAGCGTGAGGCCTCACCTGAGTGACAGATGACCAAAATGGCTAGAATCCCATAGGAATGCCTGGGGGCAGGAGTCACAGCCCAAGGTAGGTGTCTCATGACTCTGCCTTCTTTCTCCCTGTTTGGTTTAATCTTAAGAAAAGCCCTCCACCAACGCAAATAACTCCAATTAAACCAGATTAGGCCAAATTCAGATGCCCATGTTTAATAAATGCAGCACCCTCTGGTGGAGTGAGACAGCGTGGCGGGAGAGGAGCCCACACAAACCCTGGAGACCACGTGGGAAGGGGTCAGCGCTTGACAGGCTGGGAGTTGGAATCCAGACCAAAGTAACTCCCAGGCCAGGGGCTGGGGTGACGCTTCCAATTATTCATCCCAGACTCCTTGGATATAGGGGTGTTAGAGGGCTGGGGTCTCACTTTCAATCAAATACTCCCAGCATTCAGTTTAATTTTCTCCACCTAGCTCTACTCTGCCCTATCACAGGCCAAGGCAATTTCTTTATTCATTAATCAATAAAAAGCAACACATATCCAGAAGGATTTTCCACACCATCCCCCTCCCTGGAGAATCCAACAAGAGCTCATGAAAACAAGGCATTCCCACTTCTCTCCAGGTCCTAAAGACCTGGGCAGGTGCACAGAGCCTACTTGTAAGCATTTGGGGCAGTACTGTATGCCATACAGACAGACAGGTTCCAGATGTGCTGACCAGCTGGCTGAAGTATACCACCCACTGATCTCCTCAGTACCCAGCCAGAAAGCTCGCGAGAGAAGGAGAAGGAGCCTGGCCGTGTGCGGAGGGCTCTCCGCAGTGTTCACGAATACCCACTAGGCTCTGCCATGGCTTTGTGTATCATTTTCCTGATGCCTTTGGTGTGAGAAGGCAAACTTCCCATAGCTGAGGATGATAGAAAATTGAAAAGGATGAGACAGTGTTGTTGACGGGCTGAGCCTGCTTTAGATACAGGAAGCCAGATAGGCGTAGGTGACAGATGCGGGAGAGCATAGGATCCCCACCGCGACGATGCACCCTGAGTCCACACAGGTTCTGAGAGTGAGGTCATGTTTGAGTAACTATTGTAATTAGACTTTCTTTGTATTGCCAGCTCACAAATAATGCCACAGAGACTTCTTATTAATGATAAGAAGTTAGCTTAGGTTTGTTTACAACTACCCCTTAAGACTTAAGTTAGCCATTCATATTCATCTACTCTCTGCCGTGTGGCTCTTTACTCTCCTCCCTTCTGTACATCTGACTCCCTGTGTGTCTCTCTGGCAAAATCCCCAGTGCCTCAGATTCTCCCCAAATTCCTCTCTTCCTGGAGGTCCCCCACCTAGTCTCTCACGCCCAGCTATTGTTCATTCAGCTCTTTATTAAACCAATCAGAAGGCGCCTTAGGCTGAGATACATCTCCACAGTGTACAAAAAGATTATCCCACAAGCTATGGATATCATTAGGCCACCTTGATGACTTCCAGACAAATGCAGGCAATGGTTTCTGCTTTAGTTGTAGCATCTTGACTGCTGGACTCCTCTGCCCAAGTGTTGACCATCCCATCTTCCCTACCCACTTTCTAGGGTGGTACCTATACTCTTCATGTATGGGTTGGTTGGGTCCCACCTCCTCTCCCTGGTCTCTCACTTGCCTACCCCCTAGTCGTACCTTGTTGAAGCATTCCAGGGCTGTTTTTCCTTGTGAGTCTTTCCCACCACAGCTACTGGTGTACTAATGGTCCTCGCATTTCCCTGAGTGTTTTTCTGTGAGGGGGTGGAGGGAGGGGTGGAACCAAGGCTATCTGAAGGGAATCCAGTCTTTTGGTTACAGGATGCCTGGTTACCAGGTTTGTTGGGTCTGACTGGTTGTCTCCAGCCCAAGTCAGCTATGTGAGTCAAAGCTGGCAAGCCAGGGAGGGCTCCAAGGGCTGTGCTCACTGGAGGCCTGCTGGGTTAGGAACCGCAGTGGTTCCATCGGAACCTCAGGACAGCAGTGGGACTGAACTGAGTGGACGGCTAGAAAGCAGTGACGTCATGGCTGAGCTCAGGATGCTTTGGGTACCTTGGAGAAGATGGATGGAATGCTTCAAGGCAACCCCCCAGGTGTCAAAGACCTGGAGGAGGCTGTGTGCTGTGAGCACAGGTCACTTCATTTTGTTGTGTTCTAGGTAGTAAATCATATTGTCATCTGGATGATCCCCTGGAGTGTCAGGGCACAAACCACAAGCCAAATTCTTGAAATTCCTCCTAAAATGTCTGGGAGAGTTAGTTCTTGATATCAGAAAATGGATTTTTGTTGCTACTTAAGGAACAAATCTGTTAAGGTTGAATAAAAAAACTCTGAGTAGCACTGAGCTGGCGACCCTGTGGGAAACTTCAGAGGTCAGGACAGCCTGCTGCAGAGCCAGCCACTGTGTTGTTGAGAGTTCTTTGTTGTTATAGGAGCTGAAAGGAAACATCCGAGTCCACTGTCGCATTCGCCCCTTTGTGTCGGTTGATGAGGAGCTGGTCGGTCCGACTTCCCAGAACTGGTAATAGACTTTCACTTTCTGTCTGTGCATGGCTTGGGTTGGGGCTATCCCAACCCAAGGGAAGAGAAAGGCTTCGGATAGTGGCAGGAATTGCATGCCCCTGTGCTCCCAGCCCTGTGCTCGGAGCAGCTCGGAGCCATGGTGAAGCTGTCTTTGGGGATGGCTCTCCATGTTGATGCCGCAGGGCAGACGCAGGGAGAGCAGCTTTCAGTGTGACCAGAATATCTGTCTGCGCAAGCTTATCCATTGGGCTGTCTCTGTCCTGTCCAGTAGCAGGGTCCCACCCCATCTAGCCTTCCCTTCAGGTTGTACCAAAGGGGACATGCCTTCATCCTTCTTTCTAGAGACTTCTCTCATCAAGGATAAGGAATGTCAAGTTGTGATAGTTGATACTTTTGACTTACAGGAAGTCTTGGTGGCGATAGTGTAAAACTAAATGAGTACTTGCTGACCGAGCTCAGCAGGACATGTCCTGTGCCCCGTGTCCCATGTCCCATTCTCCTAAAAAGCCGCCTTCCTTCCGTGTCTGCTCCTATCCTCTCATTTCTTTGTCTCCTATCCCTGGGCTAGGCTGGTTTCCTTGGGTCTGCAGTGGGCGTTGACTCCCTGGCCTGCTCCATACATTGGATCCTGTTGTCCCATCCCATAACAGTTTTACTCTTCTGAGAGGCCTTGCTGAGACTTTTCTGTTTCTATTACACACTCCTAGTGTGACACATGCCATCTGTGTGTGTGTGTTGCACGTGTACACGTTTGTATAGGTGCATGCACACAGGCTACAGCAAGGTGCTGGGTATCCTCCTCTGTCATTCCTCATCGTGTTTTGAGGTAGCGTTTCCCCTTGAGCTTGGAGCTTGACTTTTCATCTTGGTTGGCTCCCAGCGAGCCCCATGCATCCTCCTATCTTATCCCTAACGTGCTATAGATATGCAAGACCTGGACTGGCTAGTATGGGTGCTAGGATTCAAACACACATCTTGAAGCAATATGGCCAGACCCAAATATTGTCTCTGTTTTCAGTGGTGGCAGAGATCTTTGCTTCTCAAGTCTTCCATTCTGCTAGCCGTGGAGCATAAGATGCTTTCACAACACTAGCCATGGCCATTTGTCCAAAGCTGCAGCTGGAGAAGAGCCATGTCCTGTGAGACTGAGTTCTGAAGAGCGGTGAGCTCTCCTGAAGGTGTCTTTCACATCCTATTCACAGGCTTGCTTCTGTTACACTGTCCAGCTGTGCTCATCTGTAAGGTATAGCAGTCACCCCCCCCCCAAATCTTTGGTCTAAATGGTGCAAACTGAGTCAATCAGAAGTGCTTTCTCAGTCACCCCACCGCATCCCACACTCCAGACGAAATGCCAAATAGTTCCGATGCAGACGTTCCCAGTATGGCTGGGTCACTAGGCTGTTCCTTTCCTCCTAAGTCAGAACCTCCACTGACGCTCTGGTTGCTTATTCTCCTTCAATTTTTGTTTTGAAACATACTGATTTTTCAGGTTCCTGGTTCTTGTCGGCATTGAGCTCCTGTAGGCACACAGTCTGACATTGCTTTCCTTTATCATTTCCTGTCCTAAAACTGGTGTGTGGTGGTGGGAGTCACCTATTGCGTGGATCGTAGCCCATAGCTGACCCACCCTTGGGTCACACACAGAAGGTGGAGATGTGAAAGGAAAGGTGGGGTGTATAGCAGAGGTTCAGGAACCGAGCATCAGGGGAGGAACCCAGAGCCCAGACAAGCAGTGTGGAAATAGAGCAGCAGATGTAAGAAGATAGCCAGTGCAGAGAGTTTGGGTGTCAGGAAGAAGTGGCCTACAATAGCGCTCTGATAACCTCTGTCTTGTCTCTGCAGCCCCACCCCTGGAGAAGTGGTCCACGCTGTTGATGACGTAAGTAGTTCCTAGTGAATGACATCAGAGATGCTGGCATTGCCGCGTCACATCCCAGCGTCCTGGGCCCCCTACACTCACACTAGAAGGGGCATGCGTTGGTTTCATTCTTTGTGCCATTGCTGACCAGTGTTGGCCTTCTGGTTCAAAAGACCAAGAAAGCAAGTGCTAAGATTTCAGTCATAAGAAAATATGAAAGCAGTGAAGTGAACTATGGACTTTACAATTCTGAATTTGAAGTAGGCCCGACTCTTTCTTCTTAATCTCCTCAGATATCGGTTTATCTACACACTTCGTGGTAGTAATGGCTAGACATGTATTGTGCTCATGGGTTGGGGAAGTCCTAGGTGACTGTACTGGGCCCCTTGTATCCATGCTAAAGGAGGTCTCACAGATGATAACCAGGACTCAGCATGCAGAATGCACTGCAAGAGATGCTAGGCTGAAAACAGATCTCAGGGCGGGACTAAAGCCAACTGAAATACAAGAGGATGCTAAAGCTTCTAGGCTCCTCACTGTTTCAGACACACTGATTACCTTTACACCAGAACCTAGAGCCTCCGTACAGACTGAGAAGTGGGGAGGGAAAGAACTACACATCTGTGGTCCCCTTCCCGTGAGAAATAGATTTCAGTAGAAATAAGTAATTTTTGAGGGGAAGTTTATCCTTATGGGTGATCCCAGCTAAGACACTCAGAACAAAAGATGAAATTGGAACATCACCAGTAGCCATTTGGGCCCTCCCATTAGTCCTCTGTAGATGTTGCCGGCCCTGGGGCTGACAGTCTTTGTGAAGGTATAGTAGCATGCACTGAACTGGAGATATGATGATCTCATGTCCTTATGACAGGCCCACATGCTATCCACATGATACCTGTATCCAGTTGTGTCTCCAGACCAGCATTTCTAGAGGGAGCCTGTGTAGCAAGAACTGTTTGCTATAAAAAGGGAGAAACTGTTCCTGAATGCCTTTCCCTTCTCATCCTACCATGAGATCTTTCAGGCACACATGCCAACTATGATGTGATGTAGAACTATGACAAAGGTTAAGCCACCAAGGTCACATCATCTTTGAACAACAAAACTGATCCAAACAAAGTTCTTGGTGCCTTACCCTGCTTCAGTTATTTTTGTCCTAGCAACAGAAAGCAGGCTAGCTCAGCCACTCTTCAAGTAGCACTTACCTCACAAGGTATGATGAGTAAGATGTTGATTGTGTTTTAAGAGTCCTTGTCCTTTGAGGAAACACTTGGTAGCTTTACAAGTAGATTGAGATGGTTTTTGTTTTCAGTTTAGACTGGGCCAAAAAAAGAGAAGTATGTGTGTGCAAGAATACAAGATTGAGGGCTAGAGAGATGGCTCAGCAGTTAAGAGCACTGGCTGCTCTTCCAGAGGTCCTAAGTTCAATTCCCAGCAAACACATGGTGGCTCTCAACCATCTGTAATGAGATCTGGTGCCCTCTTCTGGCCTGGAGGCATACATGCAGGCAAAATGCTGTGTACAAAATAAGTAAATCTTAAAAAGAAAAGAATACAAGATTGAGTGGGCTAAATGTTTAATGCAGAATCTTGGTACTAACACTGTCTGTTCTGTGTCAGTGTACACGTTAGAAAGTCTAAAAATCAAGTTATATTGGGTCGGGTTGGTTTTATATTTTGCTCTAACTTATTGCAGGTATCACAAAATAAATGTAGAAAGCTACTGACTCCTAATACTGGTAGGTTTGGGTCTAACTTGAGATCTCAGGACATATGGGCATAGTGTGACTAGTCTAGGTCATGAGAATTAGTGTGGCTACTCTTTCAGTCATGAGGGTTAATGCAGTCACTCTCCCCAGTCATAAGAGCAAGTGTGGCCATTCTCTCGAGTCACATGGGTCAGTGTGGCCCTTCTCTCAGGCCGTTAGAGTTAGTCTGACCATTTCCTTAGGTTACAAGAGTCAGTGTGGCCACTCAGGCAGCATGAGTCTGTTTGTCTGCTCTGTGGTGGTGGTTAGCCTGCATGTGTGTGTGTGTGCATGGTGTGCATGTATGCAGTGCCTGCAAAGGTCAGGAGAGGGTTGGATACTCTAGAACTGGAGTTGCAGATGCCTGGGAGATGCCTTGTGGGTGCTAAGAGCCAAGCCCAGGTCCTGTGCAAGGGCAGCCAGTGTTTCTAGCCACTGAGCCATCTCTCCAGTTCCTGCTCTGAAGGTTGTTGGTTACAGTCTGCTCCAAAAGCTTGTTTCATAGGAACCAGTCTTAAGATGGTGTATCATAGATCTCAGCAACACTGGAAATAGTTTTAATCAGTGATTTGATGGCCTTATGTTTTTTTTTGTTTTTACAAAGGGTAAAGTATGATAATAGTTGTTTCAAAAATTAACAGAGCCTCTGGAAATAAACACTTTTAAGGTCTTTAAAATTCTTTTCTTTAAAGCCATCTTTATTACGTTTATTTGTTTTTTTTTTATGTGACATATGCAGATGTCAGTGAACAGCTTGCAGGAGTTGCTTCTCTCCTCCCAGCTTGACATGGGTTCCAGAAATAGATCTCAGATTGTCAGTTTGGCAGCAAGCTCTTTTAACCTCTGATCCCTCTCATCAGCCCCCAAAGTATATTTTGTTCTGTCCCACACACCTTGTGCCTCAAGCACCAGCATTGCTAAGGCAAGCCAAAGGAGACTTATGAAAAAAAGACTCCAGGACTTGGGGTTTAAAGACATTCCACAGCTGATTGCCGTGGTATACATCATTAATCCCACCACTTGGAAGGCAGAGGCAGGTAGATCTCTGTGAGTTCCACATCAGCCTGGAGCTACATAGTGACACTGTGTCTCAAAAAAAGCAACAAACAAAAATAAGCAACACCTCCCCACCCACCAACCCACACACACACATGTTCAAGTTCCCATCCTCAAGTTGCTAGCCTTTTCTCTCACTCCTTAGGTAAGCTCTCAGAGTACCAGTGGCTAAATAGCACCTACTCTAGCTTTTCTAGCCTGCAGCCTTCTGGTCAACCCTCATGAATTATCTTGGGCAGGCTTCTTCCAGCTGGTGGGGAAATCAGATTGTGCTGCTTCTTTACTCTACCAGCCCTTAGCAGACCTCCCAGGGCCCTGCCCAAATTCCACTCATCACTTCAGAGGTCTTAGTGTTTTCAAGTCTTACTCAATAAAGTAAGATATTTCCTTTGATTGTATCATTTTGGGTTGTGTTTAAGACATATCAGCAGAATGCAAACTGTCTAATAAGTAGGTCTGCATGTTAGGACTGCATGTAATCTTAGCTGCTGAGTGAGTGAGTGGTTGGTTCATGGCCTTGCATCTCTTGGCTTTCGTGATATTTTTATTCCTAAAACCTGAAGAGTTTGAGTTTCTGTTGGCTCCCTGTGATCTCAGTGCCCAGCACCTCTCGACTTACCCTGTAGGTATGAACAGATTCACATGGCTGCCCTTGTCCTGGAGAACCCTACAGCTTGCTTGTTTACACTTTTTGTTTGATCTACCTCTTACTTGAAAGACTCAGGAGAACAGCTTGTTGGCTTTGCAACAAACACTGGTTGACTGCAGTGGAGGTTCTTCCTGCCACTGACTTGGATTCCTAAATTCTTATGACACTTTGAATAAGCTGTCCTACATAGTTTTGGTCTCCATACCTGTGTGTGTGCGTGCGTGTGTGTGCGTGCGTGTGTGTGTGTGTGTGTGTGTGTGTGTGTGTGTGTGTACGTAAGTGCTTCCTTGCAGGTGAGTCCAGAGACTCTCATGGCCCAGTTGGGAAAAGGGCCATGGTCACCCTGGTGACTCCCATACAGACGAGCTCTATACTGCAGGAGACCAGGGTGTGAAAATTGGGGCAAAAAAATAAAAATAAAACCTGTTTAAATAGCCAACAGAAGTCACTGGTTTATGTGAATAAGGGACATTTAGTTGTGTGAAAGGGGAGATTTGGAGCACAGGCAGGCAAGAGCATTTAAACTGTCTTGCTAAAAATTGAGCATTGTTCTTGGGATAGTTTCTGATGCTGCTGTGCATGGCATCCATTGTGGAATAATGTTCTACATGGTTCCACGTGGTTCTACATGGTTCCACATGGTTCTACATGATTCCACATGGTTCCACATGGTTCTACATGGTTCCACATGGTCAAGAGCCTTCTGGGTACTGGGGAGCTTTGGAGCACAGGCAGGCAAGAGCATTTAAACTGTCTTGCTAAAAATTGAGCATTGTTCTTGGGATAGTTTCTGATGCTGCTGTGCATGGCATCCATTGTGGAATAATGTTCTACATGGTTCCACGTGGTTCTACATGGTTCCACATGGTTCTACATGATTCCACATGGTTCCACATGGTTCTACATGGTTCCACATGGTCAAGAGCCTTCTGGGTACTGGGGAGCTTTCATGGATGTTTGTGTTCCAAACATAGTGTCCCTTGGGGTTTGGGACAGACATTGTAAACCTTAACATTTTCACTTGTTTTTCTTTAGGGTTAAAGCTCAGGCACTTGAAGATAGCTGGGTAGGTGTCAAGCTGGGGCCTTGGAGTCACTTGTGGCTGACGGTAAAAATGTCTTGCCGCAGTGAGGTAAAGGTCAGTGGAGGACAGTGAGAGCCTGCGGGGAAGCCGTCAGGCTGATCTTAGAAAAAACACTATAGCCCTTGTTTCTTCGGGGCATCTGCTCCTGTTGATGTTTCAGGGTTCTAGATGGGAAGAGAATTAAGAGCCACCCAGGCTTGTCTTTAGCTGGAGGAAGCTATCGCCTCTTTCTCCCCCTGGAATGCCTTGGCTTCTCTTCATAGGCTGAGTGAAAGGAGACCTGAGGAGGCAAAGGCAGAAAGATTGTCTGAAGTTTGAGGCCAGCTTGGCCTACATAGACCCTCTCTTCAGCTCCCTCCCTTCAAAAAGACCTAAAGTCGGTGTGGCTTAAGACTAGGCAGTTCACCTGTATTAGGTGTGATTATGTAATGTGACTGCCTGGCCTCACGGGGACCTGGGCCCCATCTGAGATGTCTGTACCCTCAGCAGGACGGGCTCCTTGGACCCCACAGCTACAGCGTTGCTATCATGTCAGGGATCAGCAGACCCCATCTCTGAAGGGCCAGGTATCAAATGCCCCTTCCCGGGGGCCATCTGGCTGCTGTCTCTATTACCAGCATTGTTCCCGCGCAGCCTGATCTGTATTCCAGGGAAAGCTGCGGACAGAGACAAGCAGGCTGGAGTTGCCTTGGGCGGCACTCGCTAGCCTTGACCTGTCTGATTAACGGAGGCCTGCCTGAATCTGCCGCTCTGCTTTTCTTCTGTTAGGAAACAGTCCTGGTGAGGTGTGCGCTTCCCCACCGCCCTCCTGCTGAGAAGACCTACACCTTTGAAAGGTGAGAACATCTCAAGGGGAAGTGCAGAGCTGGGTTCAGTGTCCAGATGCACCAGCTCCGTAGGGCTTAGGAAGATGTGGGCCTCATCTACCCGTTCCTGTGTCTGTGTAACAAGTATTTTGTCAGGGTGACAGTGAGTAGCCATGGGGCTCAATGTCATGGCATTTTCCAGGCAAGACAGGACAGATGGAACCCAAGTGCCTAGGCTCTGCTTACAGCCCCACCAGGCCTCTTCCTCCCCCATAGCTGGAGATACCCAGGTTCTCTCAGCTTGCCCCTCAGGACCAATGAACAAGTGAGCGAGAGGATGGAGCCCCCAATCAAGAAGCTTCTAGAGTAGCCATTCACAACCTTCCTAACGTCGCAACCCTTTAATTCAGCTCCTCATGTTGTGGTGACCCCTCCCACCCCAACCATAATATTTTATTTCTACTCTATAACTGTAATTTTGCTACTGTTATGGACTATAATGACTGTGTTTTTTGATGACCTTAGGCAACCCCTGTGAAAAGGCCATTTGAAACCCCAGGGGTCACAACTCACAGGTCGAGAACCTCTGTCTAGAGGGGACAGCACCAACAGAGCTTCCACAGAGTTGCCATGGACCTTGTGGTCCTCCCAGTCACAAGGCCAGGGCACAGGACAGAAGAGCCCAAACCAAGGATTGTCTGTTTCCAAGGGTCTGCCCTCCTTCCACACTCCTGCTCTCCCCACACCCTAATGTAATGTGAGCAGCTTGCCGTTGCTCTCCTTTAACCCCTGCCAGCTTGAGAAGCAGCAGATGGCAGGCTCTGTAGACGGCAGGCTCTGTAGACGGCAGCTCTGTAGACGGCAGCTCTGTAGACGGCAGGCTCTGTAGACGGCAGGCTCTGTAGACGGCAGGCTCTATAGACAACCGCAGGCTCTGTAGACGGCAAGCTCTATAGACAATGGCAGGCTCTACAGACAGCAAACTCTCATCTGACTCTTGTCTGACAGCATTCCATATGGGGAGCTGTAGGACGTTCTCTCCCCAGAGCTCTGCGTTTGCGTTGGTGCTTTGCCTCTTTAACGTGGCGCTCTCTTTACTCCCAGAGTATACGGCCCCGCAGAACCTCAGGCAGCGGTGTTTGGAGATGTGCGCCCCCTCCTCATATCCCTTCTGGATGGGTGAGTTCGGATATTCCGAAGGCCAGGGCCACAGTGCATTTGAACATAAGGCCCCTCATTCTGGCCATAGGATGGCTGGAACTTCAGGGGTTGGGAGCGTGGCAGGAGAGCTGATGGTGCCCCAGTGTGGCTCGGTGTCTGTCAGTGGAGACTCTGTCTGGAGCAGAGCAGAGTGAGGACTAGCGTCAGGTGAGTCCCCTGGGCTCCGAGCTGTGCTGCAGCCACCATACTCGCTGTCAGCCTGGAGGAGCAGCTTTCTTCATCACGTGAGGCTTTAGAGTCGTCCAGATTCATCTTATCTTGTCTTTACTAATTAAACCTAACATCTCACACAGGCGTGCACACACACGCACGCGCACACACACACGCACTCACTACATTCTGATCAATCTTGCTCCACACTGCCCCTTACCTCTGTTAGCACATACTTCCCTAAGTCTCTGTCTCACATTAATGTTGTTTTGTGTGTGATCTGCTGAGTTTAACCGGGTCCATCTGTATAGCAGTAGGTTTGGAACTAGCCAATGGAGGAGCTGGTGGACTTAGCATTGGGCCCACAGCTGAAGACAATGACTCAGCCTGCCCCTGAATCCACCAGTAACCAGTAGATCAGCAGAGAGGGTAGGTCCCAGTGAGCCTGTCTCATGTCTGCTGCTGGCTGAAAGGTGCAGTCTTGTGTAGACTTTGTAGACCTGCTGTAGGCGACTGTAGTTGCTGTGAATACGTGATTGTAGTGGATGCCATGCTCAGAAGGTAATAGCTCACAGCCCCACCCCCATCTTCAAACTCTTCCATTCTTTTTGTCTTCTCTCCCAGTGTGCCCCCTGAGCCTTAGAGGGGTGGTATACATGTCCTGTTTAAGGCCACAACTGACTTTTCAATGGAAACTTTAAAAGCCAAGCGGCATTGGAACAGTGAGAGACCACAGATGCCAGCCCAGGCTACTTGCTATGCCCTGCAACACTGTCTGTCCTAGTTGAAGGAGAAAGAAAAACACTCCACAACAAAAGCAGGCTGAAGGAATTTATGACCAGCAAGCCAACCCCACAGACTCCTGGAAGGAGTGCCTAGTGCCAGACCGAAGGATGAGCACACCCACAAGTGGAAAAAATGGTGCTTGCATGGTTGTTAGGCAGAGTAGGCCTAAGAAAACAAACACCACACAATGAAAGGGCAATAATTAATACACATCTTTTAATAATGGCCTTGAATGTTAATAACTTCAGTTCCTCATCCAAAAAAAGCAAGCTAGCTTATTGAAAAGAGGAGATGTTTCTGTTGTTGATGCTGCCTCACCTTCAAGGACAGATAGCACCCTGGGGTAAAAGATGCAAAAGAGTATTCCAAGCAAACAGAACCAGGAAGCGAGCATTGCTATCCTTTTTTTCCCCCTTTGGTTCTTCAAGGAAGAATTTCTCTGTGTAGCCCTGGCTGTCCTGAAACTCCCTCTGTAGACCAGGCTGGCCTCGAACTCAGAGATCCGCCTGCCTCTGCCTCCCGAGTGCTGGGATTAAAGGCGTGCACCATCACAATCTGGTTAAATCTTGTTATTCGAATACCTGACAAATTAGAAGCTAAAACTCATCAGAAGAAATAAAGGTCACTATGTGATGTCCACTAAGAGAACATTACATAGTAAACATATGCACCAAGCTGGGATGCACCCAACTTCATACAAACACTTTGAACAAACACTCAGATTAACCCCAACACAGAAACAGTGACTTCAGTAACTCACTCTTATCAGTGGACAGGCCATCCAGACCAGAAACAAAGAAGAAAATGTTAGGATATATGACAACACAGATGAAGTGGACCTAAGAGGCATCTGCAGAACATTCTACCAGGTTCTTTTTCAATTCTTAACCACTTTAGAAGTGATTGAGAGCAGCAGTGTCTGGTTGGGAGCTGCTTTCTTTAGGGACCATGCTTCTAGTCTGGGAAAGCACAGCTGCTGGGTACAGGCAGGCATCAGGGCTGTGGGGCAGAGATTGTACTGCAGCTCTCTGAGCCAAGACCCGGAACCTGAGGGCATTCTGAGAAACTCTTCTGGTAGAGAAGTCTCTCAAACTTCCCGAAGAAGACTTTCCTAGCAAAGTAGAAGCTGCCATCACCACAGAGTTGCTTTTAGCCAGGGTGCTGTGTGGCCAGAGACCTGGCAATCTGCAGAGGAAGGTCCACTTTGGGACACCCACATCTTCTCCACTGCCCTTGTCCATGGGCTAATCCTCCCTCATCTGGGAAGCATTTCCTGCTTTGGATCTGTTTTTATGTCTGTCCAAAATAGACCCTTCACCAGAAATGACAGGGAGGTTCTGGTCAGCATTCATCCTTTAAGTGGAGTGGGCATTGCGGCCAGACCACCTACCAGACTTGCTCTTCCATCTTAAACCCAGCCCATGGTGTCTTTTCAAGTACCGGGCTTCCTTTAGCTCCACATGTCTAGTGGCTTGGCCCCACCAGGAGCCTGCCTGCTGGTTGCAAGCAAGCAAAAGCCACCACATTTGGGACAGTGCCTAGGAAGGTTTCAGGATGGTGGTAGACGTGTGGAATGTGGTCCACACTGAGTCTTTGCAGCTCTAGATGGAAAGCACCTGGTGGCTGAGAGACCTGCCCTGCCCTGTTCTCCTCGGGTTCCCCGATCCCCGAAGAATGGAGTGGAAAGCCTTGGAGGCTTCTGCTTTCTCTCCGGTGGCTGCAGATGTGACACAAATGTCAATCTTTCAGAACGCTTTCACAAAACCGCTTATCAGAGAGTGACACTTACTTGTTTAACTCGCTAGGCTAAACAGATATGTCTGAGTTGAGATAATTGAGTCAGAATTTCTAAGGTGAAGAGTACATTACCAGGTGATTCCAAGAGGCTGTTTGTAACATCTGCAGTACGCATTGGGTAGTAGGGTCAGGATGCTTCCTTACAGTCAAGACAACCTGAAAACTTAAACGTAATTTTAAACCCATATGGTGGAAAGAGAGAACCAGCTCCTGCAAGGTGCCTCCTGCCCTCCACACGTGTGCTGCGACACACAGACCATGGAGTGACCCCTACTCCTGACTTCCACACGTGTGCTGTGACACACAAACCATGGAGCGACCCCTGACCTCCACACGTGTGCTGTGACACACAGACCATGGAGCAGCCCCACCCCTGATAGTACACAAAGTAAATAAATAAAATGAACTAAAAGAGGGAATATTTAAGAAGTGGCTGTTCTGAGCATAACTAAAGGTTCAGTGCTGGATTCATTATGTACCCTTTCCGAGGAAACCGTGCAAGCTTTACACCAGTCAGGTCTAACAAGCCTGATACAGGGCCATGAATTTATATAAAGCCACCCTGCAACCACATTGGGAGTTGACAAAGTAGAAGCTGACAGTAGCTACCGGCTGGCAGAGGGGCCAAGCCCTGGGAAAGGCTCTCTGAGGCTGAGACGAGGGCCTGCTGAGGGGTACGTTAGCTGATTAGCTTAATGGGAGGTTCTCCAAGGAGCACTGACGTGTGTGCCCAGGTAGAAACCCCCAGACTCCGTTTATAGTCTGTGTACTAAATCGGTTTTGATTTCAGGTATAATGTATGCATTATGGCATATGGACAGACTGGAAGTGGGAAAAGCTACACCATGTTGGGGCCCCACTCTGAGGATGACTCTGCACTGCTATCGGGTGCTCGTGACGACTTGGGGATCATCCCCAGAGCAGCTGAGGAACTCTTCAGGTATACCGTGTGGTGAGACCACAGGGGAGGCTGGTGGACACTGAGTCCTGAGAGAACAAGCCGGAGCTGGAAGGTGGACATAGCCAGTGGCTTGTCGGGGTCGTTGGACCATCTTGTCAGAGGCCCTTGGACCATCCCTAGCAGCAGATCCTCGCTTGTGGGTGTTCTTGACACAGTTCTCACCACGGGTTTACATGGGAGATCTGTTGTTAGGGAAGAAGTTCCTGAGCAAGCTATGAGAAAGACAGTTCGCAGGAGAGGGGATAGATAAGGTTGTGTTTGGGGAGAGAGGACCTAGGGAGCCTATGCTTCAGCTATGGTAGACGTTCCTGTGTATCGGCCCATCAGAGGCTCCCCTGTTCCATCAGCACATCCGCAGAGCGTGCCGGCTGCTACTGCTAATCATTTTACCAGCCAAAGTCGTCCTAGAAAGAAAACCCCAAAGGTGGTCTTCAGTAGTCTTAGTGGACAGCCTGGATTGTGAGCCTTGTGACCTGCCTCTGTGGCTGTCATCAGAGCGCTTTGGGAGGCCACTTTCCTGCTCTACCTAGGCCTGAGGCTGGACCTTGCACGTCTCTAGTGGAGCTCCTGGCTCCTGAGGACCACACCCTGCAGGCAGCAACCCCACAGAGCAGCGAGGCCAGTTCCTTTGGGCTCCTACCCCTGCCAGTGGCTTTGTTTCTGGGATCCTCTTGTTGCGTTGCCCTTCTAAACGCCAGAGCCAGACAATGACGTAAGAACTCCCACCTCCGCCTGTGCAAACCAGTGTTCATTAAATATTTGTGCACATGAACAGATGTGTTTATCAGTTTGCATGTACTAACTGCTTCTGGAAAGAATGTTGCAAAATCCTTGCTAAGTTTCCACTGTTCATGGCTGTTTCCAGGAGACTTGCCAGCCTGGGTCACTGTGCTGCAGGGGCAGACCCTCTGCAAATCTCAGACATGTAGCTTTGAGGGTGAGAGTGGCTCCTCAGAACCTGCACCCACACCCACAGGGCGTCATGTCTTTAACTTGCTGGAAAATACCAGAATTTGAGGGCACCCTTTTCAGGGGGTTGTCCCAGCCAGACACTTCCCTCCATATGGAAAGAGTGCCTGTGGGTTGCTTTGTGCGTGCCATCTGCTGGAGACATCTTGTGTTGTCCTGCCTCTTCCCAGCGGGGCAAGCTAGAGATAGCACAAGGGCAGCCTGCGTGACAAGGGGTCTGTCTCAAGCTGACTCAGAGGACTGACCTTAGTGACTGAGGGTTGAGGGATCCAGGATCTGTAGATGTTCTCAGCTCCTGGAGGCTCCCTGTCTACACATCTAGCAGTGGGTTTCCTGGTAGGTAAGCTCTGCCCCTGCGGGCTTGCCTCTTATCTGGCAATAGTATTCTGAAACAGAATCTTTGTAGATGGAGAACCCTTTCTTCAAAACACCCTTACTGGGGCTGGAGAGATGGCTCAGAGGTTAAGAGCACTGCCTGCTCTTCCAAAGGTCCTGAGTTCAATTCCCAGCAACCACATGGTGGCTCACAACCATCTGTAATGGGGTCTGGTGCCCTCTTCTGGCCTGCAGGCATACACACAGACAGAATATTGTATACATAATAAATAAATAAATATTTTTTAAAAAAAACACCCTTACTTTATCACTCCCGTGAGCCATGTGCTTGCTTAAAGGTTAGTCTGTTCCTCGGCCTTACCTTGCATTTTAGGGTGCATTCACGTTGAGTCTAAAGCAGGCATTTGCATGCAACGGGTCACATCTCTACTCAGACTATAGTCGGTGATCAGGACAGCAAAGAAGCCCGGAAGGATCCCAAGGCTTCGGACCCGAGGAGCCCTGGGAAGCCCTGCTGGTTGTTAGAAAACTCGGGGGACTATGTAGAAATCAGATCACAGTGGGCCCCATTCCTGAGCAATGTTTGAGGCCCCTCACTCCTGGAGGGTGTGTTTCATTTACTTTCTCAGCCCTGTGAGAGATTGACAGGGACAACTTAATGGAAGAAGGACTGATTTGGGGTCATGGTTCAGAGGGTGGGGAAAAGCATGGTGACTGGGACAACAGGAACTGGTAATGACTTCACATGGCACCCATCAGGAAGCAGGAAGCTTAGGCCAGAGCAGGGCTGTGGTATAATTCCCAAGGCCCACCCTGTTAGCCTCCATCTGCCAACCAGGCAATGCCCTCCAGAATGGCTCTGTCAGCCAAGGACCAACCGTTCAAACACACGAGGCTCTGTGGGACACGAACCTCTGTGGGACATTCTAGAGCAACATGCCCTTGCATCTGGCCCTGTTTGAAGTCTCCTGGGGCACAGTGACAGACTGGGTCAGAACGAACCTGGCAGAGTTGGAAGTTTTTCTTCTAGTTGGGAGATGGACTGGGACCCAGTGCCCCCTTGCCTGACTTCCCTCATTCACAAGGATAATCATAGTTGAAATATGGAGAGTGTTCTGCTCTTTATTTCCTCCCCACTCAAGACTAGACTTTGAGAGCAGTCGGTTCAGGGCATGTGTGGGTTACTTCCACATAAACAAGCTGTCTGTTCTACCCACATATGGAACTGGAACACCGGGCCTGAAACACAGAAACATCTTGTGTTTCTCCTAGGCTCATGTCAGAAAACCCTTCAAGAAGCCCAAAGGTTGATGTTTCCATAGTAGAAATTTATAACAACAACATTTTTGACCTTCTGGCCAAAGACGGTTCTACAGTGATGTCTGGGGCTAAGTGCCAGGCAGTGACAACTCAGGAGGGACGTTCAGAGGGACCCAAGCTGACCTGCAGGTGAGTTGCACCCCCACAAGATAGGTCCTTAACCTTACAGCAGTGCACTCCCAACCCTGCGTGGAATGGAGCCAGTGCTGCTGACCTAGGAAGCTGTTCACGGAGTGCTAGCCTTGAACTCACGGTATAGACCAGGCTAGCCTTGAGCTTGGGATCCCCCTACTGTATTTGCGGAGCGCTTGTGATTACAGGTCTGTTTCTCCAGGTCTGCCAGTCTGTGTTGAACTTGACGCACTTAGTTGGCATGGGAGCTGTCTGTCGGCTGAGTGAGTTTAGGCTAACCTGCACACAGAGCAGCTTTCCCTCCCCACATCAGAATGGGGGTGTCATCTGCCAGGTCTGTCACCAGTGCCATGGAGTTTGTGGGGCTCATCCACAGAGGCGTGAAACTCAGAGTGCAGCACCCCACCCTGGTACACCAGAACTCTTCCCGATCTCATCTGGTTGTCACGGCAACGCTGACCACGGCTTCCTCCTTGGGCAGCACTGGTAAGCTGCCACTTGTGCCAGGTCAGTTCAAGGTATAGAAGTCACTCCCGGAAAACCACCGTGCTGTCTCCCTTGGTATCAATGTGAGCATGGCATTGAGGGTAGGTTGTCTGGAGTTCAAGGTTGTCTAGCATATAACACACCACACACAAGTGAAGACAAAGCCCACATTGTAAAAAGCCAGTGACTGTGAAGGCAGCAGCTTAGGGGCCGGCCATCTGAATCATGCAGAGTTTGAGCGTATGAGACTCACCCCAGCAGTTAAATACAGCAAGCCCATGGCCTCGCATGCCATGCTAGACAGCCGTTGCTCTGAGCATCCTACATAAACTGCAGGACTGCAGAGCCCTGGGCATGGTTCTCACTCACATGGAAGGCCAGTGTAGACAGACATTCTCCATCTTGGATTCTGCCAGAGAAGAGCCTGGCAAGGGCAGCATAATCTGTTAGCTAAGTAACAGCCCAGCTACAACTAGCCACAGCCGATTGCTGGACCTGACCGCTGCAGGGCTTGGGCAGCCCCTGCCTCATGATGCTCAGAGAGCCCCAGCTGTCGCCAAGGCATTCCCAGACACGCTGTGCCATAGGCTGTCCTTTGGGTAGTGAAACCACCTCTGGTTTCTGCTTTCTTTTATGACAAAAGGAGGTTTACAGATTGATTAAGGCTCTGGCTCAACCATCCTTAGTGTGACGTGCTCTGTCCCCCCGCCCCAGAGGGGCAAGGGCTGTTACCCTACTTCTTAACTCTGTGTTCACAAGAGAACGAGAAGTCGGGTCTGAAGGGCAGACTTGCAGCTCTCACACTGACAGAAGGCTGAGCAGACCTTGTGAATTTTCTGTTTGTCATCCTTCTTGCCCCAGCCCCACAGTCCAGCCAGGCTTCCCTCCAGAAGAAAGCAGGGGCAGGGAACTGGTGGACTGCCCATCCCTGGGCTTCATCTCCACGCACCGTTCCAGTGGACTCTGCAGACCCATCTGAGCAGGTGCTGGCTAAGCTGCAGCTTGTGGACTTGGCCGGCAGTGAGTGTGCAGGTGAGCAGGGACCAGAACTGCCCTGGGGTGAGTGTCAGCATCAGCAACAGGCAACGCGGAGTAGACCGTGAGCTGGCACAGAAGGCCATGTTAGACCCTTGTTACCCTCACGCTGCAGTCTGTGCCTACAGGAACTGCTATCAGCAGTTACCCAAATGGGGAACTCATCTTAGTGACTGACAGAAACTGGGCAGGTTGCACGGTGCCTCCCAAGAACCATCCCTGCTTGCCTTGCTCCTGTCTGGAGTCCCTGCTCACAGGTTCCTGGTTTCCCTACTGTCCAGCAGTGTCTGGGGTGACTGGTTTGGCACTGAAGGAGACCTCCTTCATCAACCGGAGCCTGGCTGCCCTTGCAGATGTGCTTGGAGCCCTGTCAGAGCACTGCGACCACATCCCATATCGGAACAGCAAGCTCACGCACCTGCTCCAAGATTCCATCGGTTCGTTTTCCTGAGAGGCCCCAAAGTAGAGGGGGCAGAGAGCTAAACCCTCGAGCAATCCTAGCTTTGCTTTGCCCAAGACACACAACCTTTGGCAAAGTTACGGCTCTGCGAGGCCCCTGCCATATTCTGTCCTCAGTGTGTCTTCAGACTTTTAGTCACCATGGCTGGCACTATGTGGTAGCTATGCTGCAGGGTGGCCTGAACAGCGGGCTTTCCTCTTGTCTTTTCAGCCAGACTACAGAGTTCTTCAGGGGGACTGTCACCATCAATCTCTTCTTTGTGGCAGGCACAGTCCGTGGCTGGGTCTCTAAGCTACGGAGAGAGGACTCCAGTGAGGGATGAGTGGCCTTCAGTGGCTTCCAGCCCAGGGCCCTGTGCTGACTTTTACCTCTTGTTTGCTAGGATATGATCCCTGCTCGGAGTGTAGGCAGACTTTCTCCATGCCCGTGGTCGGAGTGTGGGCAGACTTTCTCCGTTCAAATAGCCATCTAGCACTTAGAAATGTCATTTTCATACTTTATACCTGACATCTTTAATTCTTTTTAAGGTGGTGATGCAAAGTTATTGATGATTCTCTGTGTATCGCCCGGGCAGAAGCACATGGCAGAGACTCTACGGGGCCTAAAATTTGGGGCTCGAGCACGGCAGGTTGAGCGAAGAACACCCAGAAGGAGACCTAGCAGCTCCCAGATGCAGAGGTCAGGGATGGGCCTGGCAGGGTCAGCTGCTCTTCCTTGAAATGTGCTTCATGTCATTGCTGTAGGATGTGTGTACTTCAGAAATAAACAGTGTTCTCTTGGCCTCAAGGAGGCTGTTTGCTCCCTGGGCCTGGGGTGAACCTTGCCCCAGATCCCTGGACCCTAGAGTGATAGGGGGTAAAGTGGCTGGAGAGGAGACTTCTCCTGGATCAGGAGCATGGCTGGGCCCACACCTGGAAAAGGAGCTGGACTGTACGGCAGGCTGGGTCTGTCACTTTGGGATGCATAGCGAGGTCCAGCATCTGCACATTAAGGTTCCCGAGCCGTACATGAACTCTGCCTGCTTCCATCTCTGTGCCCCAGACAATCTAAAGCCCCATTCCCATCCCCCCAGCTCTGGGATGGAGGTGGAAACCCAGCGGGTCAACACAGGCTATGCGAGCCTTGCAAGAATTAGCCTAGTGCCAGGGTCACATTCACCAAAGACATGTGTGTTCATAGTTCTAATCCTCCTTAGCACGCTTGAGGTCCCAAGCTGGGCATAAGTGACAAGAAACCCCTTATTCAAGGGAAACCATGGCAAGCCCTCAGGCTCTTCCCTGTAGAGTTGGAGTAGCCATTAGGGCTCTTGGAGCTTAGACAGACAGAGGACAGTGCGCTCCACTTGCCTCGGGGTCCAGCTGAGTCCAGTTTCAATGTGGATGCAGGAGTGGCACAGGTTGGCCTCATTGTCACATGCCTGGAAGAGGACCCTTGCTGTTATCTGTAGCTGAAGAGGGCATGCCACTAGGAAACAGTTTTAGCACCAGAACTCCATTTCTCGGTTCTTAGCTGGTCTAAGATGGGCCTCAGCTTTACCAGGCTGGCACAGAAACTCAGATACACAACACACAGGACTATGGGGACGCTGGACCTGGCTGGTTACAGAGGAACAGCCAGATGAGGGTTTCATCTTTCCCCTGTCCCCACTGCTCAGGTTGATCTCTACAGAATGGGAACCAGTAGAGATGAGCCCCAGATGAGAGGGGAAACGGGCTGATGAGGCCACCAGAACACCCAGGAAATCCCTGGAGGGTCCCCCATCAGGGCATACAGGAGGGGCTTGCCTGAGATGGGTTCCCCCAGGCAAGGGGTCCAGCAGAAGAGCATGCTCTGTCTCAGGGCCTGCAGGGGAATTGTCAAAGGCGAGCAGGCCTGGGGGTTCTGCTTAGGAGCCCAAGCACCTTCATGAAGGGAGCCAGGATATGGCTAGCCACCACCAGAGGCTGACCCCTGCGTCTACTGATGCTGGCTTGGCCAATAATTGGGATGCAGGGGAGGGGTAAGAGAAGGGTAAGGCTGCAGGCAGGGTAGCTCCTTGCTCCTCCATTGTCTCTAGGCCAAGATGGGCCCTGACCATGGCTAAGAGGAAGTCCCCAGGACTAGGATCTGTGGAAAGATCAATGTGTTGATTTAGGACAGTATGCCATGCCTTTTTCAGTACTGAAGGTCAGACACTGCGACCACAGGTCGGGTAAAACAAGATTGGTCTCTGCAGACCTAGGGGCAAGTGTGACCGTATCCTTCAATTCTGCTTCAGTGCCCTGCACAGCTGTATCCACCCCATGCTACCAAGGAGGCAAGAGGCATTTGTGCTGTGTTCTGAGTACAGAGTGGTACATGTCCCTGTGACTCAAGACTAGGAGACAGGAACCTAAATGACCAGCAACTGACCCTGCGAACTCTAACCCCAGTATGGCCAGACAGGGCATCAACTCAACATACCAAGCCTGTCAGGGACTCAGCGTGCACTGGGCAAAGGTGCCGTCAACAGGCCCTGGACACTCTGCAACCTTGACTTCTGGTTTCTGTCCCAAGGCCTGAACCATTGGCCTGCCCTACCCCTGTTCCAGCCGGTGACTGAGCAAGGGGACCAGTGGGGTTCAGCTTTGCCCATCTTAGCCAGCGATTCTTGGCGTAGATGCCAAGAGCAGCTCGGGGCAGACACCTGAAGCCAGGGCCAACAACATCTGAGGGACCACAAGGCGGGTGAGCAGGTGAGACACGGAGAACCACTAGCCTCCGCCCCATTCCCGGCAGCCAGAAGCCTCCATCTGCTGACCGGAGCTCTGAGCAGACAGCAGGGTGCAGGGGACTTGTTCACATGTCCCCAGAAGCCAGCTTTAGTGATACTTCATTTGTATTTTAATAAATAAAGCTTGTCTGAAGATTAGAAAGTAAAACAGCTGTCCTGGTCAGCCTTATAGACCAGGCAGTGGTGGCATACACCTTCAATCCCAGTAGCCACACTAGTTTGCCATAGAAACAGTGCAGTTGTGGTGCACGCCTTTAATCCCAACCCTGGAGAGGAGAGGATTATAAACGGGAGGGACAGCTCTCAGTCTCAGTCTCATTCTGGAATTCCTGGGGGCAGGATCGCCATTTTGGACTGAGGTAGAGGTAAGAGTCAGTGGCTCGCTGTTTTGCTTTTCCGACCTTCAGGTTAGACCCCAATTTCTGTCTCTGGGCTTTTATTAAATGTGCTTCAGTCAGCTGCTCTCCATGGCACCGAAGTCCCAAGATTAGTGTTCCATCTTCAACCCGATTTTGAGGCCTGAAACCTTCGTAGATGGTCCCAGGGCCGTGCTCTCTTAGGAAAAAGGAACCAATGTGATAAATTCTGCAGTGTTTCTAGAGACAAATGAGGGAAAGATTCAAAGCTTCCAGGCCCAACCTCTAGAAAGTGGGCAAACAAACACAGGTTCAGGGTGCCAGCACCTTTGTCCTGCAGTGCTGGGGACCAGTGCAAGATCCTCTCATGTGTGCTGAGCAGGGCTGCTGCTGAACTACTCCCAATGCCTTGCGATGGCCAGCAGTGGTCCTCCTCCATGTTGCCTGCTGGGCCCTAGGCCCTCACCCCCTCGTGGGACTGAATAGCCAGCTTCCTCCTGGTGTGGCGGATACAGCTTGTTTTTGGGATATTTCATGAGTGCCTTTCCTCCTCGTTTCCAGCTTGTTACTGGGGACACAGAAGACCTTTAAGATCCCTAAACTGGAGCTGTATGATGTAGAGGCCGATTCTGTTGTGTCTAGACCCTGCGTGACCCCAAGACCATGTGCTCTGGCTTGGGGTGTGGGGAGTCAGAACAGATGTCTTCCCTCTGCTATCCATTCCAAAATGGAGTGAACCAAGGGCTGCCAAGTTCCCGGAAGCCTGCTGCCCTACTCTGAGCCATAACACGCCCAGCTGGTGGCTGTCTGTCACAGCTCCGGGAAGAAGTCTGTCTGCATGGTCCCCTTGTACCGCTCATCGCCAGAAGGGTGATGATATCAAGGAGAAAGAGATAAGATCCTAGCCACACATGTTGTCCCCTGAATATTTCCAAAACTGCCACCCCATCAGCGTACCATGGGAGCCCCAGCTTAGTCTTCTTTGGGGCTGAGATGGTTGCCCTGCCTGTCCCAACATCACTGGTTTTTGAGCAACTAACTCTCTGAGACCCCAGGGTCAGAGACATTACAAAGTGAAGGTGCTCCCATCAGAAGGGGGATGTGGAAGAGTGCTCTGGCCTCCGCCTGCTGAGGAGGGGAGCCAGAGCTGCTGTGTAGCTCTGCTCGGCGGCCCATATCACACAAGCAGCCACCATTGTCTGTATGCCCCACCCGGAGGTCCTCCTCATGCTGGACACCACGGCCTCCAGCAGGCTCTTGAGCTCCAGGCCCAGTGAGCACTGTAGAAACACCTCTGTTGGGTGTAGCTGGCCAGGCGCGCTCCTGGGAGGGTCTCTCGAATCTGGATGCTTAGCTCTGCCGTGAGCCTGGCCCTGCTGTAGGACTAGCTCCTATGGCAAGCCACTCTGCATTAGGGAACTAGTCAAAGGGTCCCAGCCCCTGCCCAGGGACCCGAGGGACTGTGAGTGGTAGCTTTCTTTCTCCAGTCTCACAGATGAATATAGGAAGGAGCCTGGGGACTTTGCCTCAGCTCCTTTTTATGCCCCCGCCTTTCCTCGCTTGCCCCATTGAACCTTCTTGGGTAGCGGCACAGAGAGAGCCTGGCCTTTAATCGTCCTCTCCCTGTCCCAAGGGTCACGACCACGGTCTGCAGCTCTGTGCAATCTGGTGGTCAGAGACACTTGGCATAGTTCCCCGTGCCTGTCCACAGGCCCAGAGGAAGGACAGAAATAGGAATCCTTGTGGGCCCCAAGTGACTTCTCAGGGTCAACCAATGGTCTTGTCTTCTTGTCTGTGAAGACACGGGGCACAGGTCCTGACTTCCATGAAGCCCTAGCTGCTGCTGCACACACACTGAGGGTGAGCTGAACTGGCCTCTGCTGCTCCTGGGAGTACTGAAAACCACAGTCCGGGGCCAAGGGGACTCGCAGGGGACAACTGAGCACGGGGCCTTCTCCCTGAGGACTGGAAGACCCAGCTGGCCTCTTACTGTGTTATTCATAAACATAATGAAAAGCAGCTGTAACAGCAGGCCGCGCTCTGCTGGGAGGGGCACATCCAGGCCCGGAGGAGGACAAACCCCGACAGTGCTGCCTGCTCTTAACCTTGCTACTCAGCACATACCCAGCTCTGTCTGGAACACCTTGGTTCCACAGGTGGTAAAGAAAACACCCAGGCCCTTCCAAGTCCCAACTCACATTTGACTTCTGCCAAGAGCCAGCTCTGTGAGCAACAGTATAAAAATGAATGGCGGGCTGTTTTATTCCTTGGGGGTCACATAGGAACCCCAGGGCCAGGTGATCTACTTGGGGCCAAAGTGACCTCACGTGAGCTTGAGGGATAGGGACACCAGAGAGGGGGAGTTTCTACCTCTGGCTGACACTCTCCAGGGGCATATGTGGTAAGGGGACACTAAGGCAGGGCAGCTGGATACAATCCTGACTCCCTGGGTTGTTGAAATTAGGAGCGGCAGGGCTGCGTCCCCGGCACCCGGCCGCCCGCATGGCTAGCTTATACCCAGAAATAATTACACGGAAACTGTATTCTTTCAAACACTGCCTGGCCCGGCTCGGTCCAGTTTCTTATTGGCTAGCTCTTACATATTGTTCTAACCCATTTCTAATATTCTGTGTAGCCCATGAGCTGGCTTACCAGAGAGGATCTTAACCTGCGTCTGTCTGGAGTGGGAGCATCATGGCGACTCTCTGACTCAGCTTCTTTCTCCCAGAATTCTCTTCTGTTTACTCCACCTACCTAATTTTCTGTCCTATGAGGGCCGAGGCAGTTTCTTTATTATTACAAGACCCACCTCCATCACTGGGTTAGCTTCGTGTCATGGAAATCACTGTCTGCGTTCCTGTTCCTGAACATGGTGTATGTGTGTGTGTGTGTGTGCATGTGTACCTGTGTGTCTGTGGGGGGGGGCATGTCCTGAAATCAGCCCTGCCCCACGCCTAGCACCACAGCTGTCACAGACCTCCACTGACACTGGGGTTTCTTCTTCTCAAAGATTCTCTAATGGAAGACTGTATGCCTCTCAGTCAGGGTTAGTTAACCCCACTTTGTACCAATAGTACTCGTATACTGGTCTTCTGGAGAGCCTGAATCAGCTTTGGCTGCCCAGTCCTGTCCACAATTCCCAATCTGTTCTTATCACACCATCCAGGGAATGGAATCCTCAGTTCAGTCAGCCCCCTGTGTGAGTCACACCTCAGCCACCGTCTTGGCTGGTTGGCGCAACCACACTCTCTGCCTGGGCTCAGGATGCACAGGGAGGAGAGGCCTAGGTGAAGAAGTACCCAGCCAGCCAGACTCGTGCTCCACTCTGGCAAATGTAGGGGTTAGAAGGGGGCCCAGTGTTGGGCACAGCTACCAAGAACTTGTGACTAACAGTGACACACAAGTCCCCCACAAATAAAGTGGCATCAGGTTCTCCTTTGGACCCGGGGCAGGAAGAGCCCTGAGGGGTCTGTGGGTCGATAACCCACCACACTACCGGGTCTTCCCAGAGCCCACATATTATGCCTGCTCACCAGCTTCTGCACCTCTCTGGCTGTGGTGAGGAGGTAGAGGAGACCCCCAGACAGCCCTGCCCCACTGTCCTGGTGACATTGTCATGGCCAGGTGGAGGAAGCCTGAGGAGGGAGTAAGGGGGTTCTTACAGGAAAAGAATTCATTGCATCTAATGGTGTTTTGTTTGCAGGGGTCTCTGGGTCTCTGGGTGGGACTGAGCCATACACTACAAGAGAAGCCCCTGTGTTTGGTACGGCAGAGCCACACACTGTACGAGAGGCCTCTGTGTTTGGTGTAGCACTTAGAAGCAAGCTATGGAACAAGGGTCTACAGAGTCCTGATGGAAAAGCCCCGCCAGCCTAGGCTGACTGTGCAGTCCTGGGGCGCCCTCTAATGCCCATGTCCCACTATGACACCTCTCACAGATTAGAGCCCAGCTGCTTCAGGGCTAACGTTCACTCAGAGCTTATGCTGGCCAGGTGAGAGACAGGAAGAGCAGAGCCCACCCCTACCTCTAGGCTAAGGTCAGAGCTGGCTCCACCCCTCCTACAGGTGAGCAGGCAAAGAATAGGTGATGGATATGTGGGCAGAAAGGGTTGAGGGCCAGGGACTGCCTTGCCAGACCTGGACAAAATGGTGCTGGATGCCAGCAAGTCACCTTCAAGACTGACTGGCACAAACAGGGCCAGCTCTTGCCTGCACCACAGACTTCTGCAGGGGTGAGTCTTGACCAGGCCAGTTCCAGGAGAAGTAGTTTAGGAACTTCTTGCCAGCCCCAGGTGTGACTGGTGAGTACTCAGAAGGTGTTGGGAAGGCTGGTGCAGACTCGTGTGGTCCAGGCTGTGGAGGTCCTGGTCACCCCTGGGTCAGCCTCCCCAGCCTACAGAGAGACAGTTGTGTTGGTAGTTCTCATCCTGACGACTGGTGCCTTTTGTGCCTTTTGTGTTCTAGGACGCCTGTTCATGTAGTCCCTGAGACTGAAGCAGAGAGTTACTGCCAAGCCCACTGTTCCAAGAACCAGGCTGTGCCTCCAGGGCTGCCCATAGAGGCCCCTTCATGGCCCAGAGGACCCAGTTTGGAAATGTAGGTGGACAGGTGGCAGAAGCCATGAGGAAACCTTACCTGGGGCATGGCCTCAGTTCTCTGGACCCCATGTCCTGATCAGCATGACTCATACTCCTGAGAAGGGCTCTGGGAAGCTGCTAGAAAGACATAGAGGAAGAGGAGGAGGATGAGGAGGAGAAAAATGAGCAGGGCCCATCCTCACCCTGGGCTCTTTTCTGCCATAACTCAGAAGTAGGAACCAAATCCCCCTCCTCACAGGACTGTCTAAGATGTGGCCGTCTGCTTGTCTGAACTGCCAGCAAGAAAGCCACAAGCTGCCTGTGATTCCACACACACAAGAGCACAGAGTCTCAGATGAGCCCATGGTGTCCGGGCTCCATCTGACATGCGACATCCTGTCTTCTACAGAGTAGCTCTAGTCAGCGTTAGGAGAGGCAGAGGTTGCTGTTCGTGGGAGCCAAGGAGCCCCCCTGAAGAGCTGGGGGTGGCATCTTCTCAGTGCCCATCTCTTTTGGGGCCTAGGGAACAGACAGTGGCTCATACTCAAGTAGCTTCAGACAAGGTCAGCTGCCCTTTGCCTAGACAAGACTCCGAGAATGTGACTGCAGACAGTGTTAGTGGCAGATCTGCCTGACGCTGATTGGCTTTGTACGAGATACTGTGAAGCCCTGGATGGCCACTTTAGCCTGCAGCCAGGGAACCAGATTAGCAATGTCTACAGCTCACCTCCACTCTTGGTGCAGGCATCATGGCTGCTGAAGCTGCTCCAGGAACTCCTGGATGGTGTCGTCCCACAGAGACTCTCAGTCCCTGTGGGCTCATCCACGGACATCTCACACGCCCCACGCTGGGCGCTGGGATCGGTGCCTGCTGCGTGGGAGAGGAAGGGATGTCGTCTGCCATCCACGTTGTCCTCATTGCCCAGGTACTTCCTGCTTCGTGGGTCCAGGTCTAACTCCAGTGGGTCACTGATGTAGGATTCCCGGTAGCACTTCTTCTCTGCGCGGAAGACAACGCAACGCCAGTATAGAGGATGAAAGGCCTCCTACATTCCTGGACCAGCGCTGGTCAGAGTCCCACGCCCTGCTGATGGATGTGGAGCAAAGCACTGCCCCCCGGGGGGAGTGACCTCTGCACAAAGCCCATAGTGACAGACAAGCATGAACGGAACTGGTCACCAGCAGCCTCTTGTGATGGTTCTAGGGGCTGTGACACCCTGCCCTTGGTGGCAGACCCATCCTGAGCAGTCCTGGTGCCCCGTGACCCAGGAGAGGACTAGCGGAGAGCAGATGGCAGCTGCTGGTTCGAAGGGTACACCTAGCATCCTCAAGGACTGGCCTCCTAACACAGGCACAGAGGTCCACTCACTCGTTTCTCACAGATATTTTCAGGCGTGCACACACACACCTGCTTCAGTTTGAAGCAAGGCAGGGCAGCACCATGCTTCAAAGAGGCATACAAAGAGGTTGTATCTCTGGCTCTTTGTAGGGCTAAGGATGTGAGGAATAAGATACTACAGAATCATGTACAGAGTGAAGTGACCGACAGATCATCACTGCTTTCCATCCAAACACCCAGGGAGCTGATGACCACCAGCAACGACAGATGCAGTCTGGGCCGCCAAGCCCAGAACACCTGATCAGCCTCAAGAGTGGAGGTTCTCAAGGGTTGATTCGCTGTATCTCAGACCCTAGAGAGGGTACGTGGCCATCAGCTAGGTAACCGGACCAAGCTGGATATCACACCCACCTTCTGCCTCCTCCAGCCTTTGGAGCCACTGCAGCACAGGCCGCAAGCTGAGGTGCAGCTGGTGTGTGGCGCGAAGCAGTTGCAGCAGGTAGCGGGAGCGCCAGGCGTAGCCCGTGTAGAACAGCAGTTTCTGTGTTGCTGGCAGCCCTTCTGGCTGAATCTTCAGCTTCTTCCCCTGGACACACAGGAAGGACAGAATGATTTTACAGTCCAGGAAACTGTCCCAGCAGCAGGAGAGAAATGTCAACCATAAGCCTCAACTGGGCCCTGGCTTACACTTCTAGTTTAGAGAATTGGTGTCCCTGTGGAAACAGGTCCCTGGTTACCGTGGCTCAGTACCATCTGCCCCCAACCTTGAGAAGATAGAGGGATCCTGGGGCAGCCCTCCTTTGCAGGACCTTCCTGCCTGGGACTATATACAAGTCTTAAATTCAGGATTTGCCTTGAGCCCTGGCTGTCCAGAGCCAGCCTGCTCTCCAGTGGAGACAGCTTCGGCACAAAGCAAGGAGGACAGAAGCCGCACAGCGTGTCTCTAAAGAACCACATTCTCTCCTGTCGTTGCTGAGTGGTGACCAGAGCTATGCACATCTCAGAGGCTGAACACCACTGTGGCTGTGCCTCTAGACATGGCAGCGAAGACCAGCAGGGCTGGGTGATGCCCGGCGGTGTGGATCCCTATCCCGTTCTGAGAATGAAGTTGCAGGTTCTCTGTTCTCGGGGCCCCTGAGTGTTGTGGATCCTCTCCCGTTTCAGACACCCACCAGAAATGTCACCTTCGAAATGTGTGACCAGGGGAAGTAGAAGAGCGGCTGGGGCGCGGGGTCCGCCTCCTGAAAGACAGAAGGAATGTGGAGGAACGTGGAAACTAGAGCGTAGGCTGGGGACCAGGACAACAGGAGGTGGAGGAGAAAAGAGACAGGGAGGAGCCCTCACCCGAGAGATGTGCACTCCCTGCACAGTGAGTCCCAGAAGGATGGTAGGGTGATCGTCCTTCTTCTCCTAAAAGGACACAGGCCAGAGGTTAAAATTCTGGCCCTTGGGCAGGTAGAAGGAGGTCTATTTAGGCTCCGCTTGTGCTCTACATAAGCCTAAGCCACCCTGCAGCCCTCCTTGGGAACAGGCGTGGTATGCTCCATAGATGTTTGAATTTTATGAACCTCATACACAAAAGTTCCACCCCTAGTGCCCCCTGTGGGAGACTATCTTATCCTCAGAGAACAGACGCCATGCTAGGTTCAGGCAGTGAATGAGGGGGCAGTCCAAGTGGCCAGTGGCCAGGCAAACCAGCCACTGTTAGACCAGACCAGATAGCAGAGGCTGAGCAAGCTGGGTTTAACAGAAGTCAGACACCAGAGAAAGCCAGCATGCCAGTTCCAGGACAGCTACCTGACGTGGGATTTTCCTCTGCATGCTGTGATTACCATTAATGAACAAAGAAACTGCTTTGGACCGATAGCAGGACAGAACTTAGCTAGGCAGGGAAAACTAAACTGAATGCTGGGAGAAAGAAGGGCAGAATCAGAGAGAAGCCATGGAGTGGAGACAGACACATGGAAACTTTGCTGGTAGGCCATGACCTTGTGATGATGCACAGATTAATGGAGATGGGTTCAATTAAGATGTAAGTGTTAGCCAATAAGAAACTAGAACTAATGGGCCAAGATGTGATCTAAATAATATCGTTTCTGTGTGATTATTTTGGGTCTGGGGTCTGCGCTGCCAGGCAGCCAGGAAACAAACAAGCAACCTTCCTACAACAGTGACCAAGTAACCCTCCAACTCATCACTCATCCAAGGTCCTAAGGACAGTCTTGCCTACTACCCTTGAATCTTAGTCACATTGTCAGCCATGGGGGAACACGCACCCCTGCCCCAGGTCCCTCCCACCCCTGACACCATGGGGAAGACCTTGTACAGCCTGAAGAAGTGGACAGGAACATCCTCAAGTTGGCAGGCATCCCTGATGAAGTGGAGTATGGCCTCCTTGGGGCTCAGGCCCCGCTGTTCACGATGCATGCTAGGCACATGCCTGAGGATGTAGTCAGGTCCCCTGTTGTTGATAACCTGAGGACAGAGCCACCGCTATCTCAGACCTCAGCCTGCCCTTTCTCTACGCTGACACCCCCTCCCGCCTTTGGAAGCAGCAAACTTCCTAGCCAGAGCCTGTGTTTAGCAGAGTTGGGCCCCCTGTCGTAGGCAGACCCGAAGGTGAGGATGCAATGCTCCTAAATCTTTGGTCCTGATCCCCTCTCCTATGTCACCCCAATGCTCAAAAGGACCATAGAAATAGCCCTCCTTAGAAGGTTTGTGGGGCATATTTACCCCAAAAGCTGCAACTCTTGGGGAACTCCCTGGTGAGGAAGCCATGGCTGAAACCAAAAGGCTCAGGCTCCAGTGAGGGACAGAAGGGTGTATGGGCTCAGGGAGGCTTTGAGTAAAGTTGCCTGGCCTCCAACCTGGCCTTGGAGATAGCTCTGCAAGGCAGGTACGTGAGGCCTAAGGCACAGAAGATGGAAAAAAAGAGGGGGTGGGGGCATGGGAGGGCCAATGGGAGAGAGTGTGCGGGGCCCACAGTCCCCAGAACCATTTTCTCAGCATGGCGGTGAAGCTAAGATTTTACACACAAAGGAGTGGTGCCTCTTGCTCACTTCTCCTAGGACACAGATGAGGAAACTGAGGCACAGAGGTCCTGGGGTTGGTTTGTCCTTACACAGGCTGGTGGGCTAAGGCAGCGCAGAGATGGTGAGCTGGCTGACTTCTGCACGACCGAAGGCATAGCCTGCCTGGCCGCAGCTCCTGCACCGTGTTGCCAGCCTTTGCAATGCCATTGCTGGGCCCCCTTGGACTCGAGTCCCTCTGTTTCCATGCCCTTGCCCCTCCCTAGTCCTTCCCCCTCCCCCTGCCCATCCCAAGGAGGGTACCACACGGCCTTACCCACTGAGGGAAGTAGGCATGGGGCTCGAAGTACTTGCCCACGTGGACCGTCTCCTGGTGGTTTCCCAGGTCAGCCTGCAGCCCGCAGGCAGCCAGCAGAAAGTAGGCCTCTTCTTTGTGCATGCACCTGGACCCCAGGACCTGCTCCTTCAGGTGGCAGTAGTACAGGCGCCGGGCTGTCTTGTCACTGCACAGCAGCAGGGCAGAAGGGTCAGGAAGAGTGATTCCTCCCATTGCAGGCGGCCCTGTATCCTCTGCCCTCCCCAGGCCTGGCTTCCTAGTCCACGGGCCTCTGAGGACTCTTGGTGGCCTCTTCCTAGTCTGTTTATACACGGGGACATCTCCTGTTACAGGGTCCTTAGTGAGACAGAGGTGAAGCGGGGTCAAGGACAAAGTCTGTCCCTATGGGTGTGGCCCTCCAGCAGCTGAGATCCAGGAGCAAGTGGTGCCATTTGTGGGAGCTCCTGAGTCTCTGGCACAGGGGCAAACTCAGGCCACTGACTTGCCTCCCAGTCAGTTGTCTGTCCAGTACCATCCGCTAACCCAAAGCAGTGCAAACCTCCTGAGAGCCTCTCCTACATCTTTTAATATAGCAATCTGGCTGGCCGCTGATGATGATCTGCTGATGATGCAGAGAACCATGCATCAGTCTCCGTCTGGTTTTCCCTGCTAAGATGTCGCTAGAATGCTCCACATGGCCACACATTCCCACTCTCTAGAACCTTCTTCGGTTAGTATGCTCCAGAACGGGTCCTTCTATAGTCACATACCTCTGACTCCAGAATCTTCCATGACCCCATTCACCATATCTGGGCACCAGCACCAGATTTGCACTTTCCAAAGGCCATCCCAAGGACACCCAAGCCCTGCTGACAACTTCCCAGAGCTCTGCTTGGAGAGTTTCTAGTTCTTTGATGACACCCGTCAGGCACCGATGGCAGCAGATCTACCTCTTGCCAAGCAAGAACCTTCCAGTTCTCTCTCACCCTTCCCACGACCCTCCCTGCCCAAGTAGACTTGGGGATACCTGGCAGGAAGCACAATTCCCATTTAAAGCTCAACTCTGAGACTCAGCTACAGCCACCAGATGGAGACACCTGCCTGGCTTTGAAGGGATGGCATCCTTAGGATAGGACCTTTCTCTTTCAGTGCACACGGAAGATACTTGCCTATCTTGTGGCTTGTATTTCCCTCCCCGGGCAGTGTCTTTGTTGGCAGTGTAGTTACCTGATCGCCCTTCCATTTTCCACGTAGAACTGTACTCTGAAGAAGATGATAAAGGGCGCCCTGGATATCTGACCCCTCTGTCAGAAGAACAAAGAAAAAGACAGAAGCCTGAAAAGGAGCCCCACTGTGGCATGCACAACGGGGGAGCTTCCACAGGCCTGCCTGGGGACACCTCAGACCCAAGACTTAGTGCGTGTAATAGTTAGTTGTATTGCTTTATCTTATTTTTCTTTAAAGGGGAAAACCCCAAGTGGGATGTTCTCAGGGCAGCTACAGGCATCACACTGAGGGAACGGGACTGGCGATCCACCCAACCTCAACTCTTAGGACGTAAGTGGCAGGACTTGAGGACAGTGCAAGCGGACAAGAGGACAACTCTGGACAAACAGGTGACCATGCAGTGACAAAGAATGGGCCTGACCCAGCACCTGCCCCTCCCAAACCTGAGAGGCCTCCTAGTCACTGGCCACAGTGATGGCCCTGGCTCTTTCCTCCGTCCTCCGCTTACTCTGTGTGGCTTGATCTTCCAGTCCTTTGAGAAGTATTTACTGAGCTTTTCCTTCAAATCCAGGAACACGTACTCATTGTCTGGAAGAGAGAAGTCCAGGGCAGAGAAGGCACTCTCATTCTTCCCGGGAATCCCATCAGGCAAGAGCTGAGCCCAGCCGAAGTAAATCTGTCTGCTGGCGTAGAGGTTTGCATGCAGCTGGGTTGGCACAGCTGCCTCTGAGGTTGAGCACTGAGACAAGACACCGCAGATGAGAGATGAACCATCTCAGGCTGTGGCTATGGCAAGCATCCTTCCAGGGCAGAGCCACCTGAGCTGGTCCTCACTGTGTGGAGAGCAGCCGACAGTGTCTGCAGATCTAATCATCCACGGGTCTTCCTGTGAGCTATCACCAAAACCGATCAGTGTGGGTGACCCGCGCCACCTTGTTATCAGGGCTGCCCTGAGAATGGGGTTACTGGAGGTGTTTTTACTAAAACAAGCTTTCCTTTGTTTCTGGAGAAACCTATTGTCCCTTTCCTGTCTAAGCTGGAAAGCATGAACAAGGGCCCTAGAGAAGAATGTGGAGCCCCAAGAGCCTATCTCTGCCATTCTCATTCTCACATACTTGGTGCCCAGAATGAGGTAACACCTTAGGACAGACTCAAGACAGAAGTGACCATCTGGGAAGCATCGAGAAGCAGGCACCCTGGCATTGTGGACCTGGCAAGAGCCATATGATCAGGTCCAGATTCGTGGCTTGTTGTTAGCAGGTAAGGCACATTTCATGGTCATCCCCTCCTACGTTCCGGCTCAGTGGCCGCCTGACAGACATGCCTGGGGGTGCTAGAGCCCATGTAGATGAGAGGCTGGGGGATAACGCAAGGGCGCGGGCCCACCTTATAAGACGGCCTTTCTGAAGTAGTTTCTGCCTAGCCAGCCTTGCCCACATCTGGAAAGGCAGAGTCTGAGTGAATTTTCAGACTCACCAGCAGTCGGCACTGTTCCTGCTATGGAAGGCCCTGCACTTCCCATCCCCCTCAGAGCCTCAGTTGATGGAGGGATAGGCAGAGATGAGGCTTCCTGAAGCCGTCAGCTGTAGGAGCTCATCAGGGGGATCCAAGGATAAGCAGGGCTCTGCCAGACTGAGACACACAAAGACACAGAGGGACAAGGGGAAGCCACAGGAAGGAGGCTGTCCTAGGCCGCAGAGAAGCCACGGAGGATCCAGCTCTGATCACCTTGACCTCAGACTTCCATAAATGTATGCAGTGGCCGAATTAGAACAGTTCCATCACTGCCTAGGGCTCTAGGGAAGTGTTAGGCCCAGACTCCATGTCCTTCCCGTGTCTCAAGACCTGATCACTCTAGCTCCGAGGCCCTGGGCCCCAACACAAACTGTTCACACTTTGGGCTTTGGGAGATGCAGGACTTTGATCAGATAACTTTCTTATCTGATCTGCCCAACCTTCCTGTGTTCAAGAAGCAAGTTCCTCAATGTGAGGCATCCTCGGGCAGGAGAATGCAATGGAAGAAAAGAAGGGTTGAGAAGAAGGGAGGTTTCCAGCCAGCACACACTGAATCATTAGGAATCTGTACAGTGTAAACCACCAATCTGGAAAATAGGGACGTAGAGGCAGGAAATGGATCAGAGCTTCTGGGATGGGGAGAGGGGTGAGGAGATGGAGCCCAGGAACTGGTGCAGCGACACGGCCAGACGGTACTGTGAGTTCTCCCAGACCCAGAGTTGCCGTGTCTGCCGTGGACTCTAGTGACACGGCCAGACGGTACTGTGAGTTCTCCCAGACCCTGAGTGTGCCGTGTCTGCCGTGGACTCTAGTGACACTGCTGGTCACTGTAAGATCAGGGGCTGTGAAAAATCTCCTGTCTTCTGGATGATGTGGCTAGGGTAGGTGGCTGGAACTTTAGCCACATGGGAAATTTTATATGTTCTGTTCAGTTTTGCCACGAAACTAAAGGTTTTCTAAAAAATGAAGTCATAAGGCTGGGGCTGTAGCTCAGTGGCAGAGTGCTTGCCTCACTCACGTAAGGTCCTCGGTTGAAATCCCAGGATTGCCAAAATACAATCTTGTCGGCCTCCATGTGATAGAGCAGTGATAGAAAAGCCTGCTGCTTCTTCCACCCCCTATATCCAGCACCAGGAGAGGCCTGGGTAAACATCTTTAGCTCAGAGCCTGTCGCCAGAACAGCCCCATGAGGGTGGCAGGGGTCTACAAAGCCCAGGCAAGCAGGGACTGCAACACACCCAGGGTCGTACCCCTGTGGAGAACTGTTTTTCTTACAACTCTCTTGGACATGGCAGGCTGAGCGCTCTATGTCCAGCCTGACCCAGGAATGTGGCCATAGTCCAGATTCAATAAAATTCCTAGCTGGCTGCTTGCTGTGACCCGGGGCCCCTGCGGAGGAGGAAGAGCTGGGCCCTGCAGCCAGCAGCTCCTCCCTGGCAATGGCTGACACTGGAGTGGAAAACTTGGCTCAGCTGCAGCCTTCTGCTCTCTTCAAGTCCCAGGTGAGCTCAGAGCCTGTTACCGTTTGTTCAGAGAGAACCCTCAGTTCAGTTCAGAGGAAGGGAACCCCAAGTTCTTTCCTTGCCTGTGTCCTGACCCCTTGTTCCCTGACCTCGCACATGGAAGGAGATGGATGCTAAGGCTGGCTGGCAGGGGCTGAACCCCTCCCATGAGGAGTGTCCCTGCTGGGAGAAGGCACAGCATGAACAAACACTCACTCCCAGTCCCAGCAAGCCCCACGGTATGCTCCCTGGCTTCCTCAGCTGGTACCCAGCTGGGCTGCTCCACCTTGCAGCCCTTCAGGCCTGTCAACTAGAATAGAGCTGGACTTCGAACCCGTGGCCTCTGCAGCTGCTCCCTGATTACCTAAGCCCACTTTCTAGGTGTGACTGCACAGCTGTTAAAGTCCTGATGTGCGGACAGCTCCCGGTATTGACGCCGAGCCTCAGCTAAGAAGACAAAGGTCTTAGAACACGTGGCCTAGTCTTGGCCATATCATGGGCTTTGGCCTTGCATGCTAGATACCAGTTACTGGTAGCTTGGTATCACATGACCTCAGAAGACTAATTTAATCTCTAGGGAAACTGAATTCTGGGTGTTCAGGGAGAAGTACCTTACCCCATCCAGACAGCGTCCCATTGACCAGCACAGGGCTACCCACTGCAGTTGCTGTAGTCACCTTCTATAGGGATTCTACCTAGCGCCTCCTATGGCTTCATCCTCACCACCCCTCACCATTTCACCTTCTCTTCTAGGCTCTTTGGGGCCCGAGGGACCGCAGGCAGGACATAGAGTCATGTCCCAGCTGCCCTCTCTAGAGCAGCATCCTGGAAAAGCCTTTTGACCAAGGATCATCTCCCCTAAGGGGAGCTTTACGAGAGTGCCCATCACATCCCACAGGAGCTGTGTGGCCCTTGCACACCAACGGAAATAGTAGTGCCAGTGTAGAGCTGAGAATACAGAGAGCAGACAGCAGGCAGATCTGGATAGAGCTGCTTCCGGAGACAGTGCAATGCAGGTGGGGGATGTCGTCCCCCGCTCAGACACGGTCACTTCCACACTGCCTTCCACGGCCTGCCCAAGCTCCCGCTTCCTCCTGGCCCTTCTCTGCTGGGCTGGAGGTCCTTGGTCTCCTGCCCAATTTGGTTCTTATATTCACAAGCATGTGAATGTACAGGCGTGTGGGGTGAGTGCATGCTTAAGCACGAGTGAGTGAGCCCGTGTACTAATGTATGGACGTGCACTGTGTGTATAGTTATACACGTATGTGTAGCATGCAAGTATGGGCACGTGTGTTTGAGTGTGAATGGTATAATTGCATGTGCATGAATGTGTGAGGGAGTACATGGTTTAACTGTATGTGTGTGAGAATATACTGCATGCGTTATGCACACGTGTGTGGTGCATGCTTGTGTTAGGTGTATGATCAATATTCATGTGCACTTCTTGTTTGTGGCATGTGAGTTTGTGTGTATGTGTGCACACATGTGTGAGTAGTATGTACATTTTGTGGTGCATGTGCACAAGTGTGCATGCATGTGTGTTCATAGCCTTATTGGTTTATCTGTGGGCGGAGTCTGTGACAAGGCAGATACTCCTGAATTCCAAGGACCCCCCCTTTTTTTCCTGGGTAGCCTGTGTTGGGGTTGCCAAGCAATGCTTACTTCTGATGACGCTGAGGCCAAAAATGTAAGCTTCTCGAATGTGTGCCGTATCACACACCTGCCGGAAGAGCTCTTGCCCTGTGGCTGTGACCTGGAATAAAGGAAGGGTGGGCATAAGCCAAATGCAGAACTTCCTCATAAGACCCTGGACTGACAGGGACGCTGGGTCAGGGAGGGAGCAGTATCATCTGCTTAGGCAGGGGATGGAGCCAGGGACCAGGGCCTGGGCCTGGGCCTGGGCCATCCACTTGTTTCCAAAGCACAGATTTAAACATCGGTCCCTAAAAAGAACAGCCTAAGGATGTGTTCCAACCCAGAGAGGAGATGCCCTCTTTCTTTAGGGGTACACTGGGGCTGTAGAGGCCCTGGTTGTGGGCAGAGGGTGAAACCTAGCCGACATCCATCTTGGTAATCTCTGGTCACCTCCTGGAATGTTAGTATCCTCTCGGTACCCACACAGTGCTGCCACCTGACGTGAGAGGGAACCCCATAAGACCAGTGACCTCACTATAGCATTTGCTGACTTCCAGGTGGAGGCGAGGGTTCCTTTCTGCAGGTGGCAAGTCCCTGACCCTGGAGCTGAAGAGGCCTGACTGAGGGTAACACAATTCTGTGCCCACAGTACCTGGGTAGGGGATGGCAAGCCAAGAGCGAAGGAAAGACAGAGAGAAACTGCTTGGCCTGGGAAGGAGGGTGTGCCCTGTCATGGTTGCATCTTTGATTACAGGACGGTGGAGATGACTCAGAGTGAGGACAAAAGCTGGAGATGTGTCAAAGTCCAAAGTGTGGCCGGGGCAAAAAGCTAGAGGATAGGAAGTCACGTTCAGAACCCTCAGGAGCTGCCAAACTCTCTCCTATGTCGTCACCATCCTGGATAATTGGAGGTCAGCCAGGTCCCTTGTAATAAACTCAGCCCAGGGAAGCCCATGATGCTGGCTATGGAGGGAGAAGCATATAACCCCGCACCCTGTGGAGACCAGGAAGCCAAGATGCTAGCCTCTAGGTGACTGGAAAGATCGGTGCTTTATAGCACAGTGGTGTCCTTCATAGTCACATGAGGTCCGTGTATTCTTGTACCTGGGGCTTCCTATACATGATCCTTGCTGCCACCCTTCCCTCTAGACACGCAGCCTCCATGGTCCACCCCCACAGCCCTCTGTGGGCCCCACTTGTCCCCGCTCAGCCTCTGGATACAGAACCCCCACTGTCTCTCTGCTCACCTCCACGGACAGCCGCAGTTCTTCCCAGGTAGGCAGTAGTACTAGGATGTCTCTGAGCTCTGAGCTCATCTCAGGGTCCCAGGTTGTGGTTTCTGTTGGGAAGTACACAAGGGCTCTCTTAGAACTAGGCGTTGTCTACTGCTTCCTGCAGAAGACAGTGAACTAGAGACTGGACAGTCCCGAGCTTCCCGCTCGGGCGGCACCAGTGTGCTGGTCCTCCCATCTCCTCCCCGGTCATCAGTGCGAGGGGGTGTGGTCACCTCCCATATGCGGCTGCACGGTCTGCAGTCCCTGTCCAGACTGTCTGGGAAAGCCGGGAACTCAGCGACTGAGCAGGAACAAAGGTCAGGGCTGTGACTCTGGGTGTGTGGAGGCCGCTGGCATGCAGGCCAGCAACAGCATGACTCTCAGGCAGGATGCAAGGCTGGGAGCACTGTGTGCCCTGACAGGAAGTGATGGAGCCCTGATCCGCATGAGATGCTCCTTCAGCTCCTCGGAGGATGGCAGGACCACACAGAGGCCAGAACCACGACATCTGTTCCTTCTGCAGCAGGTGGTTAAGAAGAAGTAGGCCATGTGACCACAGTGAATGGGCACTACAGAGTCACAGCTGTGTGGCCGAGCAGGACATCAGCTACCAGCCAGGATGAGCAAACACCCGGGAATGCTAAGGATCAGCTCTGAGCAGGGGCAGGTCATTCTGCTCCAGAGTCTTTCCTGTCCTACTTGGGGGCAGCACCAGAGAAGCCCTGCTCCATCACAGGCTCTGAACGGGCAGGGGCTAGTGCCAGGATCTTAGCGTTTTAGCTGGGACAGTCTGACTGCTTGTGGCCAGCCCTCCCCACTCGGGCTGAGGTCTTGCTCCTCGCTGTACCATGTTCTATAGACTTCCTGGATGCTTGTGGCCAGCTCTCTTCCTCACCAGGTAAAGTCAGTGTCTGTCACTTTGAGATAATAGAAACATTCCCAGGACATAGATCTAGGCTCTCAATACTACACCACTGTGCTGTGTTCCCAGATCCTGTTTACTGTCTGAACAGGGCTCTACCCCAAAGGCAGGGCTCACCTCAATACGGCAGTGAAGTACACTCTGGCTATTCTTCCAACTATGCCTGCAGCCAGGAGGGGGACATTGGCAGCGCCTCTGCCACATACAGCACCCAGGGATCCTGAGAGGGCAGCTGGGATCATCCTGGAGCCAGGGCTGGATGCAGTGACCAGTACTGGGCCAGGCAGAGTGCTGGTCAGTAGTCAGGGCCTATGGCTGAGGCATTACAGGTAACACTTGGCAAACGGGTCACAGACATCTCCAGATTCATGTTAGTACTGATAAATGTGATAGAAACAGGTAGTCTCTGGTGGCTCACAGGCTGTCCAGTACCAAGGGCCGTAGCAGCCTGCCTGGGAAATGTCAGGTTCACAAAGAATACATCAGTTCCTGAAGATGCCCCATATCTCCCAGGCAGGCAGCTGTAATGCTCCGTGGCTACAGGGCCTAGTCAACCCTGGTTACCCTGGTTACCCTGAAGACCACAGTCGGGGACTGTAGTCTTCTGGTTCCTCAAAAGGCAACAGTTTTCTGTCTGGATGGAACAGAAATGGGACTAGACCCCCAGAGAGAGAGCACCACTCCTCAGCTCCTCTCGGCTTCTGTGGGGCTGTGGTGCCAAGTCCCAGGAAGCTAAGGTCCATTGCATGGAATCATAGCTTACCTGCTATGTATCTGCCTCTGGGTGACTAGTAACATCGAATGCAAAATACGTACTGTGCTCGTTTGGGGGGAATAATGAGGAAAAGTGTGCTCCAAGCATGCGGTATTTTTCTCCAAATATTGTGCATGTGCAAATGTGTGCATATGTGTGTGTGTGCATATGTGTGCGTATGTGGGGGTGGTGCATATGTTGGTATGTGTATATGGGGGTAGATCACGCACGTCTGTGTATGGGTAAGTTAGAGGTTGACATCAGGCGCCTTGGTCACGCTTCACCTCATTTTGTTAGACGAGGTCTCTTCACTGAGCCCAGACCTCACAGATTCAGCTAGAGTGGTTTGCAGCAAGCTCCAGAAATCCTCTTGTCCCTGTCCCCAACCCCAGTGCTGGGATAATGGGCACATGTTGTGCCTGGCTTTTTATGTAAATCCTGGGGGATCGACCAGACTCCTTGCGTTTGAGAACCAAACACTTTACTGACTGAGCCATCTCTTCAGCTCCATATACAAATATCTTTTCTTGGAATTTGCCTGGATCTGCAGCTTGTAAGGCCCCTAAATGTGGGTGCCGACCCCACCTGCCATGTTTTGGTTTAGGCTGATCAAGGTGGAGGCAGTGACTTTACGCTGCCTAGGAGCACAAGGAAGACATGAGGCTACGTACTCAGGTTCTCTTCAACCCAGTCTTCCCGTCTCCTGGGCGCTTGTTTTCTATCTTCTACCACTAGGCGAGCCTGCTGAGAATGTTCCAGAACTAAAGTTTTTGAGACACACATCTAAAACGACAGTCTTCACAGACAAAGACAAAGCCGGAGGAACCTTCAGCAGTAAAGAGGAATAATGTGCTAACAAAGGAAAAACAGAAACCAGGGTGCTGCCTGCCAGATTCTACCTGTGAGAATCCCAGGCAAGGTGAGGTTTCTCGATGTGATCGTGACTGCCTGTGGAGGGGCTGAGGTGGGCATGCTCGGTTTAGAGTGACACCCGGTGGTGCGACTCCCGAACTTACTAAGATTTGTGTAACTGTTTGAAAGGAAAGCAACTTTACGGTGTGTGAACTACACCTCATGGAGTGATTGAAATGCAAGATAAACTATAAAACAGGAGAACTGCACAGTCTGACCCCATCTGTGCCTTTGTGCCTGCATGCATACGTGTCTTATGCGAATGCCCCAGCGAGCGTGCGCGGATTGGGAGTGTGCTCACATATGTGTTGGCTCTCCAGCCTTTCGGTAGGAGGCCCTGAAAATCTCAGACAGGGTCACCCAGTACAAAAAGTGTCTCTGTGGGGGGCTTAAGCGTCTCCTCCAGGAAAGGGCATCCTCAGGGTCATTCTGTACCACTGCCACAGTGTGTGTTTTATCTCCCTCAGCTGTGTCTCCCAGGGCAGCGGGAGCTTCCTCAGCCCAAGCCTGCCATCCCTCCAGCATGGGCTATCCTTCTCTTCCTAAATGCTGTTAGTGGCAGGTGCTGGGTCAAGACATGGACGGGGTTTCGGATGGCTCATGGGGTCTGTGGGACAGGAGTGTGGATTGAGTTGCCTTGTATGTGGGACACAGCACGGGGACCCATGGGTGGCATGTGCGTCTCTGGAGATCCTGCCCCACAGCCTCTATGGTCAGTCTCCTGGAGATTATGCCCTGGAATCATGCTCTCTAGCAGGGGGCAGAGGTGTTGGCAGCAGGAACCTTTTAAAGTTCTGTCCAGCAGTGCCGTGCATCACCCAGGCTACTCTTGAACTGCCCGTCAAAGCACAGATCCAGAGGGCCAGTTTAGGGACATGAGTGCCAGCAGATGGGCATGTTCCTCAGTTTCCCGTGTCTCCACAGGTTCCTTCCCTCTGTGCCCAGTACACTCTGATAGTCCCAACAGTCCTTCAGATGATGGAGAAAGACCTTTTGCAGGGACAGCCCAGGCGCAGACCTGGGGCGGGTATATCAGGTCGACTCTGCTGCTGGGCTTGGGCTGCCTTAGCCCCGGAGTCTGCAACACCACCTTCCTGTCACTGTTGCCAGATGTCCTGGTTTGGACACAGAGGACACTGAGATGCACCATTCCCCAGTGTGACTGGCTTCCTGGTCACTTGCAAAGAAGCCAGAGGTAGGGGAGGAGTCTAGGGTGGGAAGCAGCTCATTCCAGCCTAGCAATGGGTGTGCCCTCCCTAAGTCCTCTAATGCCCTCCCCGGCGCTGGACTTGACTCTGGCAATGCAGAGGGCAGATTCTCGGCATTCTCTGCATCCAGTTATGAGTGTAAACATTCCCTGCATTGAGCCTAAACTGCTGTGCTCCCCAAACAGAAGGAATAACACACAGCGAGCCAGCTGCTCCTACACTGGCTCCTTGACGCTGATGGCCAGAGGGTGGTTCTGCAGGAGCTTGCAGGAAGATGGACCTGTCTGAGTGACCCCACGTTTGCAAGGCACGTGCTTTAAACTCTGTCAAACCTGAGTCTTCAGACAAGACCAGCTATGTCGAATAGTGTGGCCATAGATCATTCTTGCCAATACACATGCTGCCTAAACAGATATCCACCTGCTCACTGTGTCTGCAAAGGCAGCCTGCTATTCCCCTGCTCCTGGGAATTTACAAAGTAAACACATTTGGGGCCAACACTGGCTAGCTCCAGGGTTGGGGGATTGGGGTAGCGGGGTTCCAGCCTAAAGACTGGTGCTGCTTGGGGGCTTGATGTTGGCCCATGATCTGGCAGAGGGTGCTGGAGTCCCTAGGTCTCATGCGTTCTTCCCTCAGCTGTAGACATGAGGGACTCAGCATGGGTCCCAAGCTGAGACACAGTCATTTGTGAGCCCTAATGTTGCTTTTAGAAAAATCCTTTCTGTGTCACATATTCAGGTTCCTCCCGATGACTATGGAGGGACCAACTCAGGCAAGCAGCTGAGAGCTATCCTCTGGAGGCCAATTGTTGAGTGTTTGTCATGGGTGTGCTTAGCAGGTTTACCAGGTACACTGACGCCATCAACTCTGCTGGGCAGACTTCTGCTTGTGAGGTGTGATGATGTATGTCCCTAAGCCTCCCTCTGTGGAGGTAGGGTGTCATTTGGGAAGAACAGTTTAGGATCACTGGAAGCAGCTTAGCCTCCCAAATGAGCCTGAAACCCTTGGCTGAGAAGGAAGAGCCCTGTGGCAAGAGACCACACCATGGGGGAGTTGCTGTCATGCTGGTCTTTACTCATTTCTCATCATAAGAGTCATCTGGACTCCTTGCTCTCCCTCCTCAGCCTGGGGACACACACCCCACACTCCCAGCATGCACTTGGCCTCTTATTACATCACATTAACACGTAATGAGATCACGTACTCATCTTCTCCTGGTTCAGCGAGCAAAGCCTCACAGCTGGGAGGTGCCCTACAGTGCCGACCCCATCTCCCGAGGATGGTGCGCACTTTCTCGCTCATTGTGCACGCTGGCTGTGCTCACTGTCAGCACTAGGAGAGCCCACCCCAGCAGTGGGCAGAAACACTCTTGAAGAAAGGGGCTCAGCCACGGGCCACTGTGAACTGTGCCGTTAGATTGCTTGTGCATTTTTACCTCTCAAAATAATCCCACCTTGGAAGCAGATCCAAGAAGACTGTAAGTTCAAAGATCAGCCTGAGCAACAGCGTGAGAGCTGCACCCCCCCACCTCAAACATGAAAGGGTAGGACACAGGGGTTGAGTGCATGGATTCTTGTTTATTATCATGTGTGTGTGTATGTGTGTGTGTGTGTGTTTTCATGTGTGTGGAAGCCAGAGGACACCTTGGTGAAGTCCGCTTTCTCCTTCCACCTTTATATGGGTTTGTGGGATCACGTTTGCTAGGCATTGTGGTTTGAATGAGAAACGCCCCCCATGGGCTCACATCCCTACTTGGTGTTACTTATGGGAAAGATTACGGAGCTTT